AGCAACGGTTCTTAAATGAGAGACTGTTGTGCTACTTATTTGAATTGGGTTTCCTTTGTAAGCTAAAGCAACTGGATGACGAACTTTTTGATTCCACGATGTACTTGTTTACTCTGTCTGAGAATTATAAGCTTTACACCTTTTAAGCGATGGTTGTTTGTGAATGCAATCAAACTGAACTTAGCTTTTTTAATGATTTTTAGGATCAAATCGGATCACACAACAGGCTTGTACTAAGATGGCTTTACTCAGCAACAATTTGAGCAAGTAATATCAATTTGAAAGTAAAGAAACTCACAGGTCTCTTGACAGAACACTGTGGACTGAGAAGTCAATTAGTTAAACTAGGAACAGTCAGGCGCAGAATCAAAAAAATTTCGAACAATAAAAAGAAAACCGTCAAAGATGAAATTCTCAACTCGATAAAGATTCTATATTTTGTGCAAGAGTCAAATTTATGGAAGAAGAATTTAATGATGCCTTTTGTAACTGTCAATCAATATTTACATTCAAATTCTCACATAGCAATAATAATGCTTAAATTTATTTCAAATCTTGCGCAAATTGACTGAAACCCGTCAGAAAATTTCATTCAATTAATGGCCGACTAATTAGCGGTTTTGGTTTTGGTATCACACACATCAGATACGAGAGGTATGCGAATGATATAAATGTTTTTACAAATGAGTCGAATTACAAATTAGCAAAGCATAAATTAATTAAAATGTGGACTGCTTAATGAGGGCGTTTCGGACTCACATTATATAATCACATGTCGGTGTTCGGTGTGTATGTGTGTGTCAAGAGAAAGGATAACAATAATGTGTCAACAACAGTGCTCACAATGCGTATGCGTACGTCTGTGTGTGTGTGTGTGTGCAGAGAGACAAAGGGACACAAGGACACGTGCCGAAGTGGCCATAATTTAGGGTATAAGCACTGTAAATGGGCACAAGTTCATAAATTATCGCCCTTGCCGGCCAAGAGGCGTGAAATTTATGGAGCTGTTTGTTTTGAACTCGAGATTTTTTTGTCAGCTGATATGCAATTAAGACCATGCGAATACTTTGAAAGCTTCGAAGAACATTCATGTTTTCATCCCTATATATAGAGGGATGTCCATGCTGTCAGAGAATATGCTCCCTACATCCCAGCACACAACAACAATATTGTTGTATATTATTTCAAAAATGTCAACTGGTTCGAACTTTACATCCATCACACTCTCGCACTCTTTATCTCCTGGTTCGTCTGGTCTGGTCTAGGCCCCGATTATTTCCGGTGACCGCGTACACAACAATTTTGCCCATTGGCAGCAAACATTTTGGTTTAAGGACATGTGGTCAAACTGAAATGCTGGCATAGAGAACAGCGCCAACCAACTGTAAATAACAGGAAGCAGGGGAAAGAGCAATGAGCTCACTGCGCATAATTTAAGCTTAACGCTAGATTAAAGAATGAAAGAAAAGCAAACTAAAAGCAATAAGTAGATACAGTTTTCAAAGGACATTCAATGGCCTCTGAAAACGCCTCTAAAAGTACGAGTATCATCGAAATTCGTATGCCAATAAATGTATAAGATATTCATGTACCCAAAATTGTCACAAAGGATACACATACACATCGAATTTCAAACACACACACACACACACATTGAAAAATTGGCATGCAATTGGCAGCAGCCCAACGGCAAAAATGGCAAAAATGGCAAATGTCAACTGACACTGGTATCAGGCTCTATACAATTTTTTCTATTTTTCTTTGTTCTTCACTATATCTGTTTGGTGTTACTCAAACATTGGTGACCGTCGTGGGGAGCAGCGAAGTAAAATGAAAAATAGGTGAGTCTACATGCTATAGATGAGCATTCGCCTATTCACGTATAGGGTGTTCACTGTCAAATAGTATTCGATTTTTATATATGGCCAATAAGGACTTCACTACAAATACTCGATCTAAAATTGTCAATATGAATTTGCGAAGTAAAATGAGAGAAAAGGTAAGTTTCCAAGCTATTGTTGAGACTAAGAATCTTAAATACCTTCGTTACTAATTCTCTAAAAATAAATTTTAAAATGCCAATTTTGATATCGATTTTCTATTTTAAAAAGGGCTACAAAAAATCGTAGTAAGAAAAGCATTAAACTGCCAAAGCCTTCGTTTCTAATACTCGAAAAAGATTGGTTTTAATTGGCAATTTTTATTTCACTTCACTTACTTCGCAAAGCTGCTCCGATTTTTATTAGAAATCATCGCTTTAGTGTTGCCTATTTGATCATCATTTTAATTTAGCTCTCTTGAGATAATTGAATTCACTGAAGCAAATGTGTACTAAAGAACACCCTCTGCCTAACCGGGCTTGAAGTTTTCACTGCTGTTTTATTTTTTGTATCATTTTCTTGATTATCAATTCGATTTTTATATGCATGGCCCAGAAACCTAGCGCATATTGTTCGGGACAACAAGAATGAACAAAGCAAAAAGCAAAAAAAAAAGAAAAGCAAAAGAAAAGAAAAGGTGGCAAAACTTTTCAACTGCTAAAAGTTTTTGATATGCTTCGAGGCGTTTCGATTCGATTGGGTTGCGTTTTTTTTTTTTTTGTGTGCTGACAGTTATTGAAGTTGTTTTTCTCATTATTTTCTCTGTTTTTTGCTTGTGTATGCATGAGTTTTGCTCTCTGAGGTGTTCGCACCGCTTGGGTCCCACTAATTAGGAATTCAGTTAACTTTTCAGTTAGTTATTAAAGTGTAATCAGCATCAAAGCATGTGCCTTAAGTGCGCGACACTTATGCCTTACAGTCTTATCACTTGCGGGCCACTGCGCGACTCATAAATTTCATGCAAATGAAATGCACCCAAGTCAACATTGTGGGTCTTACCTTGCCATCTTGGCATAGACACCCAAGAAGTTTCAGGACATGTCAGGACAACACACGCACATAACATACACACACGGTCTCATTTTTATGGTAGTTGCGTGTTTGGCATCAGCCGCAAATTATGCTCATTATGATGTAACAAGGAAAAGCAAGGGGCTTACGCTCGGGTAGCCCTCGAAAGTATGCTATGCGAAATAAAAATGCCAGCTCGTAATTAAGCCTACCTCAGTACAAAATAGACAAGGTGTGTCTACGGAAGTCTAAATACCCTTGCCAATTTATCTGTATCTCATATTAAATTAATTTAACTTTATGGTATAGTAAATAGATAATGTTAAGATAACTGGATTTAATAATGATCTTTCAAAGATTCAAAACTATTTCAGATAAACAGAAAGAGCATCAGAAATCTCATTATTACACAACTTTCAAGAAACCATTAAGTTCATTATACAAAAACCAGATTATTCTGTTGACATCATTCTTGTTGTCCAATATTCATAAGTTATTGCTAATAATTTATGATTAAATCTTCTTATTGGAGAATTCGATTTCTTGCTTTCAGCAAAGAGAAAAAGTATCTACAGGAACGCATTTGAACCTTCTTTTTAAGACCAAACGGCTCGGCTATGCCCTTTCCTGGCACAGACAAGAATCGCCGTTTTCCCAGCTTTGTGTTCAGCCAACTGCAGGCAACTGCACTAAAAAGTGTCCTTCACGTTGTGATCCTTGTGCAGAGGCAGCTGTTCTTGTTGTTGCTGTTGTTGTTGTATTTAAAAGTAAAACGCTGTTGAGTTCATTAAAAATTTGACTAAGTGCGTTGTCATCATCATCATCATCCATGCGACTGCCCTCCGTGACCCGATCCCATCCGCACTTTCACTCCGACTCCCAAACCCCACCTCTGCAGTCAGCCCAGGCACTTGTTTTCCTACATGTCCTTATTGCTGTTATGATGATGTGAACCGTGACTACGACAGGCATATACTTCAACTTTATGTGTATATTTATATATATATATGTATGTATGTAATTGTGTGTGTGGAAATTGTTTTGCCAGCAAATATGTTATTTTGTGCTGAGCTCAGTAGAAAAAATGCTTTGCCACGAATCTGCACCGAATAATTCCCCGCAGCCTAATTTGGATTTATGAAGCATTTAAGAAGCAAAAGCAACGGAAATTAATTATTTATCGTATTAAAAGAGCTTAGCGGTAACGATGTTGAATTTCACATAAAAATTAACAATTGAATTCCTGTACTGAGATTTGTAGCTATAAATAATTAATTATAATGTGCAGTGTGTCAGTTGCAATTTAAAAGCTATTTTGAATTCGATTTATATTATTTATAAGCATAAAATGCAAAGTCATAACTTTAAGAGCTACGAATCTGAAGTTTGGACTGAAACATTCTTGCAGGACATACTTGAACATTAAGTAATCGAAAATTTTATAAAATATATATACAAAAAAAAACCATATAATTGCCAATAAAAAAAATGTATACAAATTAATTCATTTATTATTTTCTGATCTATTTTTAAAGTATACAATACATTTATTTGCAGACTCTCAGGTTAACCTCTTAACATACATATTAATTTATACAAGTCAGAAATCGAAATAGACCTCTTAACAGAAAATTGAATTGATTCAACATATATAAAAAAATAATAAAAAGTTGTCCAAATAATGAAATCGCCTGCCAAGAAAAACACTTAAGAACAACGCTCTCGAACAGAGCTCTCACATTTTGTCTCTTAGCAGAAAGTTTGGCTCTCTGTTGTGAATATGCGTCGCAAAGCAAAACAGGCAATAAGAAGCAGAACAGACGGAATGCCATTGTATGTGGCACCACAAGCGGAATCCCTCATGACAAAATCAATAGGAACCAAAACAGCTGTGCCGCCAGCCAAGGCAAACGTAAACAAGCAAAACGGAGGAAAACTTTGACAGCCAGAGACAAACACACACATAGTGAGATAGAGAGAGAGAGTGTGTGTGTGTGTGTAAGAGAGCGGTACTATAAATAGGGCAACATCAGAGAAAGAGCCGCTCGCTCTCTTGCTCTCGCAGGCTGGGCCAGCCAACATTCTGTACATTTTCCGATTTTCTACTTTAGTCAAACGCAGCTCTTCAACGTTGGCGGTAGCCAAAAATCAAGCGGAAAACTCAACGTCGCTCACACACAAACACAACACTCACTCACTCATACACAAACACACACACATAGTCACACATACACACACACACACTAACAGAGACACACACGTACACAGTGACAGTGTGCCATATGTGTAATCAAAACGAACGGGCCGCACTAAGAACAAAAGTTTATATATAGAAAATTGTACGCACAGCTGAGGGAAAATAAATTCGGTGTGCAGCTGAAAATAAATTAACGAGAACTACGAAGATTTTTCAGTTCAGTTGTATCTTATTATTTTTACATATTTTGTATGCAATAAATGGTATATTACGCATACGCCGCGTGTGGTGAAAAATAACTGGCGAGAAAGTCTGCGTCTGGCGCCAGCGTCAGCGCCGCTGCTGACGTCGCGACTCCACCCAAAATTGTATACCAAATTTGGTAGCAAACAGTAGTTGCCCTTGCTTAAATATTGCATTGGTGCATTGGTTAATGTGAAAACTGTACGTGTGTGTGTGTGTGTGTGCAACAGCAGCAAACAAAAATTTAAAAATGCTAGCAAAATGTTTGGTTCATGCGAAAAGTTGATGACACATTTTGCTGTAGTTTTGACCGCATTTCTTGTCTCCCAGCCGCTGTTGTTGTTGCTGATCTGCGGTCCGCCAGCGACACCGCATGGCGACCCCGCATCATCATTATCCACATTTCTGGTGGACGCCTCCGCCGCGGATGAAGCGTAAGTTCTGCACAAATATTATCTATCATATTATCTTTACTCTTTAAATTTACTCTTCGGCTTCATCGGAGTGACCAATTGTTTTTGGCGCGTTCAAAACAAGTCCATTAATGGGCGTGTTCCCATCATTATCATCATCAACATTCTGCTCGTCCCCATCCTAGTCCTTGTTGGGCTGTCGTTGTGCTCGTCGCGTTGTCGACGTCGCTCGTTAATTTTTCGAACATTTTATGCTAATTTTTTTTGGCAGCCACCATCAACTCACGTTTCTTATCGAAAGCCCTGCGAGTCATGAGTTCGGCATGTGCGCTATAGCCATGTGTAGCGCATATAGAAAGCAGGGTATTTGCGATTAAACTAATTCATATTTTTCATAAAATTAAATATGAAACATTAAAAATTTCGTTGGCCACTAGTCAGTTAGTCGGCATAAGGCTGTTTCATTCACATAGATATTGTAGATTATACAAAATAAAATTAATTATAAATATATCATTTTTAAAACCAATATTCCAGTCGAGAGAGCTCGACTATGAGATGTATGCAGTTATATATACAATTATCTTCCTTAACAGATTTTGATGAAATTTTAACTGATGATCCATATCATGAATATAAAATATAAAATTATGGTTTTTATTGATGTTGTTCATCGATTTGTAAAAATTATTGGGGAAATTATGAGAATTGTCAATCAAATTTAACAAACGTAATCTGCGTAAGGTATTCAAAGTGTCAGATATGGGCGTACGCAGGGAGAGGCTGCTGTACCACCTCCTTGCTCCCTTCAAATGCAAATTTGAGAGTAACTTATAACTCGATGTTTCGCCCTTCGCGTAAAGTTACGACTACTACGACACTACATATTTTTGCATAATTTCATAATATCCATCATACCCATTTTGAAAAGATATCATTGTCAGCATAGCAATGAGTAATTTTCTATTTCACTTTTAGGATGAGTAATCCCATATTCATAAATAGATAATTTGTCATCTTAACAAGTTTTCCCCAAAGAACTTGTCTGTTTGTGTTCCCCCCTTTTTTTCACTTAAATCCATTAACTTTTCTTATAGCCTTGTTTGCAGCGTATTACGTAGTCGTTTTACGCAGATGTTTAACATTCTCACTGGGTTTCTCTGCCCTGTGCGCTTTGCGTGTTTACGCGTTTGTCTTTTGTTTCGAATTTTCATTTCATCGCGTGAGTATGTGTGCTGGGTGTGTGTGTGTGTGTGTGAGAGAGATAGAGAGTGTGCGTCAACGTATTTGCCCACAATTTCAGCTACTGCCGCCGCCGACGACAACGAACCTTTTTTCTGCCTATTTCTGCTGCTGGTTTTGGGTCCTTACAATTTCATAAGTCACATAAAAGAATTATTTGTCTGGCATGTTGACTTGGGGCCACAGCAGGTACTACAGACGTCTATTTACGCGTAATGCATATTTTATTGGACATTTTGCAAGCCCGCCTAAAAGTCGTCGTTCTATTAATTTGACGCCAACCTTTTCGGGGCACAGGGCGGCGAAGTTTAGGCCAGTTTAGCTTACTTAACCAGTCGCTGCTCGGCAAACAGGCGTCAGGCTACGGGCCAAGCAAATACAATTAGGAAATGTAATTAAATCAAAAAGTAAACGCAATAACCGGCTCAGCCATTACATTTTGACATGCACAAGAATCATACGCTTAGAACTTACCTGGCCAATCCTAAATTTTCAGCTAATAAAAAAAGTTCATTTTCATAAATTAGCCAAGGATTAATTTTGAAAATTTGAGGCGTGCTGCGTAGCTATAAGAAATGGCCAATGATCTCATAATTTTGAATATAATATACACATAGTTTCCGTATTTTCGATTCATATTTTGAACTGGTAAAAGTTTATTCTCTAAAGAACTATTAGATACTTAACAATAAATTTAATCAACTCAAGCCCCTAGCCATAATTTAGAGCGTGACAGTTCATTTGATATTTAAAAATCGTTGGGAAGAAAATACATTTTTATTTGAATTTAAATAAGATCAAAACATTTCCCACTTGCCGAACAACAATTCCGAAAAATGCTCCGCTAACACTTTTAGTGTTAATTAAATTGCAGTACAGATTTTAAATTTAAAATAACTAATAACTTATATTAAGTGAAGCATTCAAATAATCCCAAACAAAATTCTTGCTAAAATATGGACAATCCAGACAGCAAACAGAACACTTCAAAGGCTTTTAAATTTCAAATTGACTGGCAGAAAACTATATAATTTATGATCATACGAACATAAATTGCAATCGTTTTATGAGTTGTTCTTTTCTTTTTTTTGCGTTGGCGCACTGCGCACATTAATAGAAAATGGCCATTGGCCAGGAGCACATAAAAAAAAATTAGTGTAAATTGTAAGAAAAACCAAAAATAATCATTAACAAAGAAAATTAAATAAAAACACAATGTGGAAAACCAAAAAAAAAAAACTTGGCAACCCACAAGCAGCAATACAATGTTCACGTTCCCAACGCCCACAACAAGACAGTCCGATTTAGAGCAGATAAGAGCGGACCCCATTTAAAAACAATGTGAGACGAACAGAAGTTGCGATTAGGTGGGGCGGATGGGGGACAACTGACTAGCCCACAAAGGAATGGTGAATTTAATTGAACAACTCCAAAATGTAATAAAAATCTCGTTACAACTACACGAACAACAACAACATCAACAATTAAACTTGAGAATCGGCGCTGCCAACACTTGTATGCAGCAAAGTAACTGTGTCAAAGGCAAAGCGCCAATGGCCATAGTACTGAATTGAAAATGGCCGCAGCAGCGCCACCGGCAGCCGCGGCAGCTACAAACGCATAACACAAAGAGAGCGCAAAAAGAGCGCAAAGAGAGCGCACACCAATTGTCAAATCGCATGAGAGAGCGAGATGGCAGATGGTATGCGCAGGTTTGCTCTGATTTCCAACATATTTATCTTGAGTTTGTAGGTCAGACATTTCGTATTTTCGATGATCTGCAAATTAGTTGGAATATTTGAAATTGATTTACTATATTTAATCAGATTTTCAAAGATAAGCAAAAATTAAATCAAATCAAAAAAATAATGTAATAATAATGTGTGTATTATTAATATATTTCATATTATTAATAATTTATAATTTCCTTATACAACTTAATTATAATTGTGTTTAATTCAATATATTATAAAAACCATTCTTAAACGTTCTGTAGATCATTGCAATCCTTAATTGCTGTAAATTAAATTAAGAGCATTATATTTTAAGAGAATCTGCAATTTAAGAGCTTTTGGTTAAACATGCGCGCGCATTAACTAGGCACTTGTTGATTTCTCACACTCACGCATACACACACATGCAAGCAAAGCCAAATCACAGCTGTTTCTGCCCGCTGCCTGTGATACGACGCTGCTGCGCTGCTGCTGCCAAATCAGCTTTTGACTTAGCCACTTTCTTTGGCACACGCACACACACACACACATACACGCACACACACAGATGCTGCCCTGTGCATCCCGGGCTCTTTATCAACACTCTCATGACTGACATGTGCGCTAATTTAATTAGTGGTCTTGTTGGACCACTTGCACGTCGACAGGTGGTTGACATTTCGTTTTAGGGGCAGCCGTGACGTGCCACTTGAGGTTGCCAGACTGCCAGACTGCTTGCCGTTTTTCATAAAAACTAACGTGAATTGAATAATTTAAATGCAGCACTTAGATAACATTAAATAAGCCAGGAATAAAATAAGCAATTAGATCGACTCAAAGAACAGACCGCCTTTTGCCAAATAAACTTATAAATTTTAAAATTCTTACAATTTTCTTAATCTTCTTAATTCAAATTATAATATCAATATTCATGCTAATATTTAATGTAATTCTTGAAAATCATTTCAGTGTTGGCAAATGGGCGACACAGTTTGGCGACGAGCTGTTTCTGATGGCCCAAAAGATAACCAAATCGCAACAGATCAAAGCGAAATACAAGGAGTACAATGCCCGCGTCGAGCTCAAAAATGGCACCGAACTGATCAAGTCGATAACGGCCAATGTTGGCAAAATGCTGGCGCGCAAAATGGACGCAGTGCGCTGCATTCAGGAACGGGCGGAGAGTGTCAACGAGAACTTTGAATTCAATCTAACGTCCGCAAAGGCCAACTTCACCTATTACTCCAGTAAATATTCCAAATTCAATGGGAACAGCTCGGAGGAGCTGGAGCCGGGTGAGAAGGAGTACGCGTTCATGTATCGCGATATGACTCTGAATCCGGATACACATTTCTACAATATATCCGTAGACACGGAGCACAGTTCGGTGCATGTGCCGTCCAATGTGTGGGATCGTGCGCCGCATGTGCTCAAAACGATTCAATGGTCGGAACAGCTGGATGAGGTCTTCCGCCAAAACTATCAGTCCGATCCGGCTCTGTCGTGGCAATACTTTGGCTCCGACACGGGCATCCTGCGTCACTATCCCGCCTCGCTGTGGTCGGACTCGCGTGCCAATAAACTGGATGCGGACACATACGATTGTCGCAAGCGTTCGTGGTACATTGAGACGGCGACATGCTCCAAGGATATTGTAATACTGCTGGATCATTCCGGCTCGATGACGGGACATCGAAATCATGTGGCCAAGTTCACCATACGCAGCATTCTGGACACCTTCTCCAACAATGATTTCTTTACGATCTTTCGCTATTCGAGTGAGGTGGAAGGCATTATTCCTTGCTTTAAGAATGCCCTCGTACAGGCCACGCCGGAGAATATCGATGTGTTTAATACGGCAATTGCCGAGCTACCTGATCCGGAGGGCTATGCGAACCTAACGCTCGCCTACGAGCAGGCCTTCCAAATCCTGCGCACCTACTACGTGTCTCGACGCTGCAACGAAACATCCACCTGCAATCAGGCCATTATGCTGGTCACCGACGGCGTTGCCGGCAACACCACCGACATTTTCGAGAAATACAACTATGGCAACGGCGAGAATGGCACTTCACGGATGAATGTGCGCATCTTTACCTATCTACTTGGCAAGGAGGTGACGAAGGTGCGCGAGATTCAATGGATGGCATGCCTGAATCGGGGCTACTACTCCCACGTCCAAACATTGGACGAGGTGCATGAGGAGGTGCTCAAGTATGTGGACGTCATTGCCACGCCTCTGGTGCTGCAGAATGACAAGCATCCGCCCACCTGGACGCACGCCTTTACAGACAAAACGGTGCGTTGACAGTTGCCTCAAATTTCATCGCAAACGTAATTGAATGTTTCCCACTTTTAGTATGATCCCATGAACAGCACGGAACGACGACCCCGACTTATGATAGCCGTGGGCGTGCCCGCCTTTGATCGGTCCTATCGCCATGAGAACAGCACCAGACGGAGAGCTCGGCTGCTGGGTGTGGCTGGCACGGATGTGCCTGTGGAGGACATTGATAAGCTAACGCTGCCCTATAAGGTTTGCGAATTGTATATCCTTTATCCCATTCAAGGAAGTTAACTCTTCTTGTCACTTATTAATACGATGTGCATTGCTTACAGCTGGGCGTCAATGGCTATTCCTTTGTGGTGTCCAACAATGGCTATGTACTGCTCCATCCGGATCTGCGACCCATTGGCGTAAGCAGCGTGCCTAATCCCTACAATTGTGATTTAAACATTTATATTTTCTGTAAACTCCGCAGTCTAATGGCAAAATGAATCCCAATTACAATAGCATCGATTTCACCGAAGTGGAGCATCTGGCTGAGGATCAGAGTCCACGTCAACCCGGTGACTCCATATTGAATATACGCGGCGCCATGGTGCATCACGAGTCCAAGGAGTTTAAGAATATTCCGGTTAAGTTCCACTACGACAAAATGCGTCGCGTCTCCGAGGAGAAACAGGATTACTTCTTTGCACCGCTACCGAATACGCCATTTACATTGGGCATTGTTATGCCCAGCGAATATGGCAAGACCTGGATCAAAGTGGGCGATGAGGTGGACAAAAACAAACACATGAAGGTTAACATATCCGAGTTTTTCATTGGCGAGAACTGGAAAGTGCATCCCGATTGGTATGTTGAAATAAAAAAAAAATCAACTTGCTGAAAGTTGTGTAACGCATTTTTCAATAGGGTCTATTGCAAGTATCATTATCTGGAGGGACACGAATTCAAAACGCCCGAAGCAGAGCTACGTGAGTTTCTCGATAAGATGATGAAAATGGACTGGAAATGGCCAGAACAATATGCCGAGGACGAGTCCGATTGGGATGACAAAGATGATTGTATGTATGCCCAGATGTTCAAATAATCTTAGCCAGTTCAACCACAACTCAATATTTGACAGTGAATTGCGGCCGCAAAACGCTCGGAGATGATGCCTACTACTGCAACAAGGAGCTGGTGCACTTGCTCATCTTCGACGCCAAGGTGACAAACTCTAGCTACGGCGAATGGAAGTTCGAGAATGAACAGGAGCGTCAGCTGATCGAACGCTTTGGTGCCACGCTGCGCTATGTGGCCACAATGAGTGGCCTCACACGCTGGCAGTTCATCTACGGCGAGGTGGAGGTCGATACGGATCAGGAGTTTGGAGATTATCATACGACAGCCATCGATGAGACATGGTACAAGAGTGCCATACTGCAGCATCATCAGGGTAACACCGAGAGCTTTGTCTATTCGGTGAAGCACTACAATGATCCGTTGGAGGATAGCGATCTCAAGGTCACCGCGTCACATGCCATATTTCCGCGCGACGGCGGCAAGGAGGCGCCCGCCTGCGTCGTCGGCTTCCAATTCTCCCATGCACGCATGTGGGAGCGTTTCTTCAACATCACCGCCGAGGATAATGTGAGTATCGAAGCTAACAAACATATAAACAGATTTGTATATATATAAAAAAATCCTTCCAGTGCAACAATTGTCTGCCCATTTGCACGGATGATGACGTTGATTGTGTGGTCATTGATAACAATGCGTACATTGTTGTTGGTCAGAACATCAACACGACGGGCAAATTCTTTGGCGAATTCCATGGCGATGTTATGGCCGCCATGGTGCAGAAGGGCATCTTTCAGAGCATCGAGGTCTACGACTATCAGGAACTGTGCAAAGTGGAAGCCACAACGCCCAGCGATGGACACAGCTTACTTCATGTGAGTTGACAGTTGATTGTCTACAACATAATTACAATAATTATTAATGGGCTGCGAAGCAATTCACCAACAGAGTTTTAGTCGTTTTATGGGATTTAGCCTTTTTTATGCACACACATTAATTTGTAAATGTTTTACAGCCGCTGAAAGTGCTGGGCCTGGTCTGGAAGTGGCTGATAGCGCAACTCTTCTTGCACTACCAGAGGGTTCAATGGTGGGTGGATGGTGCGCCCTGTAAGTAAACAATTGAAACCCAATCAGCAATATCAACAACATCTATAATCCATATATATTCTGTACAATTAGTTATGGAATATTTGGACAATATCGAGGATGAGTATGTAGCTGTGGGCGATAGGAATTCACCATCGGCAGCCAAGCCTAAGGAAGATGGCGATGATGGTGAGGCCATATTTCAGGACCCGGAACCTGAGCCCGTCTACAAAGCATGCGATATGCACTCAACGCTATATGCGCTGCAACCCGAAGCGCTGATTGGCATCACTGACTATGTGGAGGTGCCATCGACGCGTCCGTTTCTGGTGAAAAAGATACCCAATACGAATCTGGTGCTGGTGGTTGTCAATGTGCTGATGCCATCGCGCAGTGTACGCCTCACCACCGAACCTCAGCCCATAACTGACTACGAAGAGGAATTTCCCTGCTACAAGCTCAACATGAGCTTCTACGAGCGGAGACGCATCGAGGAGTGCTACACGGAACACGAGGATGTAAGTGAAAGAAAGATAGTATAAATTTATATATATATATATCTCTCTAATGATAATGACACCCTTTTTGTTGTAGGAGGAACTGTTCACCTATTGCGGCAATGCCTCGCGGCTGGGTTTGACGCTTCAGCTGCTGCCGCTGACCATTATTTTGATGTTTTACTTGACGCGCTGCTTTATGCGAGTCTAGTTTATACAATCTATATATATATATATACATACATATACCTATGTACTATTGCGATCTATTTGTTTTTAGATTGAAATCTATTATGTAGTACAATTCTAGTCGAATGTTTAACAAGAACAACAACAAGAAAATGAGAAACCAACCAAAACAAAAAGGCACAATCTAAAAAAACACCTTAAGCATGTTTAGCAACAACAATTTCAACTTTTAGACTTACAAAATACGCCAAATGTTAGGAGAAATCGTTTTATCCTACAAAATACTAAACAGATTAGTGGTTAAGCAGTCAAAAGAGTCCCAATGAGTATATTTAGTATTCCTATTATTTCCCCCATTATTTTGCTCTTTTGACTTTATACCAAAATGTTGTAAGAAATATTAAGTTTTTAATATATATGCATATTATTTGATATGCATAGACTTAGTTAAATATCCCACGTTTCGGTAATGATTCTTACAGCTTAAAAATGGTAAACCAAATGCCAAATATTGACGAGAAACGAATGAAACCAAAAATAATTCAACTGACAATTATTTTTGTAATTTTATAAAATTTGTTGATTTTTAAATGAATAAATGTAAACGTATGACACACAGAGAAACAACACTATATAAATATTTTGACCCTTTGCCCAATCGAATAATATATGAAAGTCCCTCTAAATTCATTAGCTTTTCGTATACAATCAAAATAATTTTAAATGATTAAAATCAAGCGATACGTATAAATATTATATATAATATATATATTTAATGTATGCAAAATGTTTATATAGATATCGGTTAATGGCTATTCAAAGTTTATATATGGTTTTGTATATGTATTTTAATATGTACCAAGTATTTGTAACGATTTTATTGTATTTTGTAACAATGGTATCTTTGTTTAACGCTCGCACAGACAACACACACAGACACACACAACTTGCACTTAAATCAAGAAGCCAACTTTGGAGTAACCGAAGTTTAAATACTCTTGCCAATATATTATTTGAATGTTAAAGAATATCTCTGAAAAAGCTGAGACTACATTTTGGTGCAGTTGTTTTAATAAACAAATCAATTGTAGTAGTCCGTATTAACTTTTGATTTTCCCACAGATATTTGCAAAAGAAAAACAGATCCAGCAAATATTTTGAAGAGTACATCCGATCAAACTAGCCTGATGTCCTTTTAACGAACAATATCGTTGGCAAGTGTATTCAAAATAGGACCACCTGAAAAGTATGCAATACTATTTTCGAGAACCTCAGTTGAGTTGCACAAAACTAATAACTTTAACTATACCGATTTTTTAGCTAAACAAAATTCTGCAACATTTACACGAGCAACAAAAAGAAAGAAAAAAAACAACAACAAGAGAAACCAAATACCAAAAAAAAAAACCTAATTGCCTTTGTATCGTATTTCGAAACATTTTATGAATTTATGCATAGAAAAGTAAATGGAAGCTAGAACAAAGTGGAGAGAAGTGTTTTAAATTCAGTTTCTTATCGAATTTGAAACATAATTGAAATCAAAATGGAGACGGAAATTTTAAAAGCAAACAGTTAACTACTAAATGTAATTTACAAAAAAAAAAAATATTTATAATAAAATAACAACTAAACTAAAAAAAAAACTAATTAAATGTTTATATTACGCATACTAATATAATATTTATTTTTTGGAGTGTTTAAACGTTGTAAGATGTAATAAATGACTAAACTAAACATAATGAAATGATTTACATGGATTTCAAATACAAGACGATAATATCGCAATGCCATGTATACACATTAAATATATAATACCGAAAGTCCACTAAACTAAACACCCCTAATAATAATATTTTATAATAGTAAAATTAATTATATAACTTCATTAACAAATTCAATGCATTAGTGACAAAATTCGTATGCAAATTTGATGTTTAAAACAGAAACGGTTTAAAACTGATACAATATGAAACTAAAATAGAAAAGGAAAAACATTTTACAGCTAATAAGAAAAAAAAGACCAATAAATGTTTAAATAATAAACGATAGACTCTTGATGGATGGCATGTGGAAGATTGTTACATTATTATTCTATATGATATTTTACAGGAGCCCTAACAGAATTATGAAATATCAAAACAAGTCCAGACTTAAGACTCGCTAGTGGTCAGCACCGCCTTAAAATAATCGCTGTCCAGTTGTTTAATATCCTTGGCAAATTGGGCCACAAGTTGTGTGAGATCCTCCACATTGATGTCGGTGTTATTGCCAGCTGTTGATAGCTGCTCTATGGCCACTTGTATCTTGTCCAGCAGCGCTTTGTCCTCTTGACTCTGCTTGCCAGCATGCTCGTCCTCGAACTCATTGTACACTTCCTGGGCATTTTGCACCACATGCTCCGGAAAGTTAGCCAGACGTGCCACCTGTATGCCAAAACTCTTCTCCATGACGCCAGCTCGCACCTGATACAACAGCGTAAAGTTATCCTTATCGGCCACGGCGGCCATATGACAGTTTTTAACCGTTGGCAGCGTTTCGGCCAGTTTGGTTATCTCATGGAAATGCGTAGCAAACAGTGTAAAGCATTTTGTTTCTTTTGCCAGATGCTCGGCTATGGACCAGGCAATGCCACAACCCTCATAGGTAGATGTGCCACGTCCCAACTCATCGATGATGACCAGTGATTTATCCGTAGCTGTCTGCGGTTTATAAAATTATATTACTTATGTGTCTTATCTGTTTATATTTTGTTACAAACAATATTCAATATAACAAGATTTTCATGTAATCACTTACCCTTATAATGCCCGAAGTTTCAATCATTTCCACCATAAACGTGCTTAGACCTTTGATAATATTATCACTGGCACCTACGCGTCCCAGTATCGAATCCACCATGCTAATTGTGGCCACGCTGCAGGGCACAAAAGCCCCGACATGGGCCATTAGGACAGCTGTGCCCACAGAGCGTATATATGTGCTCTTTCCGCCCATATTTGGACCAGTTATAATAAACATATTACATTTATCTATGGAAAAGAAAGAAAAACGCTGAAGTGCATTCAAAAATTTCAACTGCATTGACTACGCACCTTTTTCAAAAGCTACGCTGTTGGCTATAAAGCTGACATGCTCCTGCAGTTCCAGGCACGGATGACGCACATCCTCGAGCAGCAGCTGACCAGCGCCCTCGGGCAGCATCTTGGGGCGCACATAGGGCGTCGGAGCGCAACGCGCAGCTGTTGCAAAACTGACCAAACAATCCAGCTGGGCGAGCTCATTGTTAAGCGAGGTCAGCGGCGCTGCATAGCCGACAGCCACCTGGATAATTTCATCGACAATGGACTGTTGCTGCTCCTCGTAGCGTGTGCGACAGCTGGCAAACTCATCCGCATAGCTCTCCAGTTTGTCGGAGGTGAAGCGAACGCCGCCTTTGATTACATCCACAATGCGATAGTTTTTATTCTTGCGCAAAACCGAATCATCTTTGAGTGTGGTACGAAAATGATAGCCCAACTTGGCCACATTCTCCAACTTTATCAGCTTACTATCCAGATCAAGCTCATCGCAACACTTGCGCTGCAGCCGCTCCATTTTGCTGTACAGCTCCGTCATGGTCTGCTGCAGCTCCATGAGGCGGCTGTCGAAGGAGCCCTTGACCAAATATTCGCCCTTTTCAATAGCCTCAAAGTCTACGACTTGTTCGACCATCTGCTTAAGGCCAGTTAGATCCTCTAGGAAGCTCTTAATCGGCGCACATAGAACGCTCTGCACTGTGCTATGTTCCAAATCCAACAGCAGTTGCAGAATCTTCGGCGTGCGCAAGATGACCTGGTAGACGCGGAACAGATCCTGTAGACTGGCCTTGCGACGCATCAGTTTCTTGGTGAGCATTAGAATATCTGGTATACGCTTCAGAAAGTCCAGGCTGAGAGTGTCCAGCGTCTCGGGCGCCTCCAGCAAGCACTGCACAATATTGTGACGATCATTGAGTATGTCCAAGCTGCGCAGCGGCTGCTTCACCCACTGCGACATGAGTCGATGACCCTGCGGCGTACGGCAATGATCCAACACACCCAGTATGCTCTGCCAGCGATACGAGGGCATCGTTGGATGCGTGCCCGGCTTGGGCATAATGTTTAAAGCGGCCACAGCAGCAGAGTCCAAGTGCACAAAACTGTAAAGAAAAAAATTATAAGAATTACATGTGAAACACACTAAATATAAAGATACCTAAAAATCTTGCTGCCTAAGTATATAAAAATGTAACATTATCCTGATATAATATTGAAGATATTTATGTACACGCCACGCACCGCTTTAGATCCAACTGCCTCATTTCGTAGTGCCCCAAATTGCCGGCATCATTGACCAAATCCAAATATTTTATGGCCACGCGCAGTGCCTCGGCGGCTAGCTGCATTTGCAGCTCCTTCAGCCCATTGGCATCCTCCTGCTGACCCTTGGCAAAGCGCAGCAGGCGATTTAGATCCTGCAACAAATCATTGCGCTCGGCAGCACTGCTTCGCTTGGGCAGGGTGATCATCACGCCATTGCGCTCCAGCAGCGCCTTAACAGCTGTATATTCACCATCGGCTGACGGCAGCAGACACTCCTTGGGACCAAGCAGCACCACGGTGGCCTCCAGCTCCGTAAAGAAATCATCGTCGACAAATTCGAGCAGCTGAAATGTGCAATCATTTTGCTCGACGGCTGCAACGCCCACGCGTCGCATTGTACCGCCCTCCAGCTTCACCTGCAGCGAGATGATGCTGTTGCCTACCAGGACCTCCTTGTTCGCGAACAAAATGTCCTCAAACTGCAGGAGGTTGCCCGGCGAACCACGATATTCCAGCTGCCATTCCTCGCGTTTCACATAAACCTCGACGCGCAGATTACGCACTAGCAGCAGATCGCGTACGGCCAACTCAAAATTCGATTTGGACATCGCCACATACTGCAGCGTCTCCTTTTTATCTTCCTTCAGCAGGGGATGCACATATGCCATGGATTTGTACACAATTTTGGCCACCTGTTCACAGTCATCGCCGCCGTGCACAGTGTAACAATCAGTGTGATCGTAAAAGCGTACCGTCGAACTGGGTTTCTAGTGGGGCCAATGCAATCGAATATGTAAATTTGTAACTAGCTAATAAATGCATAAGCACAGAGCAACTTACCTCGCCCAACTTGTTGTAGAACTTAATGAAATTGCGTCGTGCATTTGTGTCTAACCGAGCAAAGCATTAGCAAATTGTAGAGTTAAGTATGCTTTGTTTAATGCTCACCTAAATGCAGCACCGGCTCCTGTCTGCTGACAATAGTTTTTCCTTCCATCATATGGATTTAATGTATAATTTTGAGTCGACTTTAAACAATTTGCCAATTCACGCGCCACTTTAGAAGAACGACGCGAATAAACCAGTGTTGGTTAGCGTCAAAAATCGAATGAAAGCAGCTGCAACTCAAAAAGGTAAAGAGTAAAATGACACTTGTTGAAATGTGTAAGTTGATATATCAGCAAAAAAATCAATAAATGTAAATGAATATATCAATTTAAAATAGAAAAAAGATTACTTTCAATATAATATCTAAATGTCGGACACAAATAAATATGGGCAATTTTCACCCCACTCTCAACCAACCAATATTTAAAATTTCTGTAAGTTCAATTTTGCCATTATCAATTAATTATATATTTAAGATATTATTGTTATTATGCACACTAAAAACAATAAATTGATATAACACCAATAGAAAACTACATACATAAACATATTTGATACTATTTGATTATGATGAATACATCTGTTTGAACTAATTCGATTCGATTCATTGCGTTATTTTTTATACAAAACTATTCTTAGCATTACAAAAAATCATGTTTTGCAAAAATACTGACTATGTGAAAAACTTAATACTTATTCTTCAGCTTAGCGACTAACTTCAGTCTATTTTATATTGCAGGCTCCGCTCACAGCGCCTTGTCCATCTTAGATTGTGGTTGCTCCAGTTTCATCACAACAATATCCCAGGCACCACCGATGCCGTCCGCCTTGGAGCAGAGATCGAGACTGATGCTGGCGCCCACCTCGGCCGACGAGGCACGCAAACAGGTGCCCTTGGCCATGTTGTAGACGGGACTGTTGGAGTTGCGCGTGTGGCGCCACTGCTGATCGCCAAGCATCTCGTGGCACTTGTTGACGACGACCATAGTATCTTCGACCGCCTCCAAGCACAGCAACTTGTCCAATATGATCTCCGATTTCTCTGTCTCGTACCACAGCTGATTGGGTGCACGGGGCCGGCACAGCTGCAACGTCAGCGGGCTGCCTTTCTTCCAGAAGCCCTTCACTTTCGGTGAGACGACGGCGGCGCAGAGCTGTGTCCCCGACAGACGCATCTGGAAGGAGTCGAGGTAGTTGCGTTTTCGCGAATGCCAAGGCTGAAAAACTGGTGCCGACACCGGCTTCTTGGACTCCTCGCCGGGTACACGCAGCTCGGGATAGACGTGCTTGAGATACCAATCAAAGTTCTGGCACTCCAGACGCTCCCGCAACTGCAGCCTGTCGCTAATGTCACCAAAATCATAGCCCTTTGGCACCTTCTCAAGCTTCAGATAGTACTCCTTGTATGTGTCCATCCAGACATGGGCCACACGCATCGAGTTCTTCAGCATGGTGTTGGCACCGTCGGGCGCCGTGTATGGACGACGCTTGCGAAAGATGTGCCCCACCCGGGAGCAGGGCACAATCTTAATAGCACCGCCGCATTGCCAGACGCGAAACGAGATCTCAATATTCTCGCCGCCCCAAATGTCCATGGCCATGTCGTACTCGCCAATGTGCTGGAAATACAAACGATTCACGGCAAACAATCCGCCCGCCATTGTCGGCGAGCGAAATGGTCCCTTGAAGTCCTCCGGCACTTTGAGCGTGCCCTCCGGTAGATTCTCCCAGCGGAAATGCAAGCCCCAATTGAAACCGCCGCGCACCAGCGGACTTGGCGTATACTCAAAAGTGTCTGCATTGATGAGATCGATGACTGGCACGGCCAGCGTTGCGTTTTCTGCCTTGACCAGTCGTAGTAGGGGCTCGACCCACTCCCGATTCACCTCGATGTGCGAGTCGAGGAAAATCAAAACATCGCCACTGGCATCGCGTGCTCCAATCACCCGGGAACGTATCAAACCCTCACGTTGCTCATTGCGCACATAGCGCAAATTGTCGTACTTCAGGCGGGCGTGCAGATCGGCCAGCAGATGAAATTCCAGTTCCGGCAAATCGCTGTTGTCATCCACCAGTATAATCTCCTTGAGCAGATGTGCCGGTGTACGCTCCAGCACGGTTTTTATCGATCTCATCAGCGTCATTTTGTGCTCGTTGTAGAAACACATTATAACCGAAGCCTGCGGCAACTGCACCAGGTGGCTGTCCGGCTCCGTTTGCTTGCACACCTTGTGCCTGGTGTCGGGGATGTCCCGATAGAGTCCAATGTTATTGGAGACCAATGCATTGAACGCATGATGCTTGTAGCCAATGTCACGTATATATTTGTCCTGTTTGTTGCGCACCACGCCTAGCAGTTCAAACTGCTGTGGTGGCGCCTCCGCCGTCACATTTCCCCCCACGGATGCGGGTGAGCAGCCAACGGTCACCTGGACTTGGTAGCTCAACTCCGCCCGGGGGGTTGCTGAGCTGTTGAAGCGCCAACCCGCTGCTGGAATGGAGGTGCGCAGCGTGTGCATGTAGACGAGCAAAGCCAGTAACCATACGGCAGCGATGAGGAGCGTGCCGAGGGTGCAGGATTTGCATAGCAGACGCTTGATTTGCATCATATGTTCAGTTGTGTTAAGTGTGTGGAGTAGATTTCATCACTGCATGGCCATCAAAACCGGAATTTGTGCCATGTCGTCAACTGCTGGCTTACTACCACTGATTTAATTAAATTCAATTAATTTGCATACTTGGACGGCTATCGATAGTGGGATTATCGATAGCATTCGCAGCGTTGCCACTCGTGTTTGAGCGCGCGCACTCGTTGCTTTTTTGATTTGTGAATAGTGGATGTGCACGGCATATGATCAATTTACGACGTAGATTAACAATTATTAAATTTAATAATTGTATACAGTCAATAGCAGTTGTGCTTACTGCTTTGTGAGCCCACTACTGCCAATAAATGAGTTACAACTTTTGCTAGGGTTTTATAAATATTGTTTCTTTATTACCTATAGCTTTATGCGTTAAATACGTCTTTAATATTTCATATAACATTGCTCGCATTCTAATTTTGCACGTTTACAATACACAACATTCAACAAAATGAGCATAAGGGAGAGATACAAATTACAAATTTATATTATAATATATACAGATTATTTCTAACAAATTGTGATATAAAGAACAAAGAAAATATAATAAACATGTTTAATGTATAAAGGATAGAAATAAGAGATATCTTCCAACATTATCATTTGGTTTTCTTCTTTTTGTTTTTCATCTAAATATCAAAACAGTTTCATTGCGATTGCAACGATTAATGAGAAGTAATGCAACAGTTGATTGAAAATATTCAATTTACTATCAATAGCTTACTAGATATTACACAGATTTCTAAATGTCGCTTGTCATATGGGGGACGTTTATGTATTTTGGTTTTTGTTCACACTTTTTACGACTTAATCCAATATTTAACTACATACAAGTGTATTTTTTACTTTTGCTTTGCTTTTTTTTTGTATCATTGCATTTTGCTTTTGGATAAATAAGAAATCAATATGATTACGAGTTGCGCTAAAAATAAAATTTCGATTTGTATATCTATTTTTGTATGTGTGTGTGTATATATATATATAGTATATAAAGTTAATACATTTAACACGAGCACTGATCCTTGGCATGCATTGCCTCGCTGCTAATCGATTGTCGCGATGGCTGCGAGGGTCGATGCTGGACACCCGACTCGGATGCATTTAAGTCCAGGCGTCCCTCTTGTATATTCTGATAGATCTTGCGTGCCGTTTCAAGAAAAGCCTCCTCCACGTTTTGGCCACTGTTTCAAAAAGAAGCATGAGACACGACATTAGGCTAACATCAATTAAAAACAGCGCATAATTGCGTATTTACGTCATGGCGCTGGCTTCCAAAAACATCAGACCATTCTCATCGGCGAACTCCTTAGCCTCCTCGTAAGTTACCTCGCGTGTGCTCTCCAAATCAGATTTATTCCCAATTAAAAAGATCACAGTGCTGGGATTTGTGAGATTCCGTGTATCGGTGAGCCAGCTGCTCAAATGATTATATGTGGAGCTGCACAGATTGTTGAAATAATTATTATTTATATATTTTAGTCTAGTTTAAGTGACTTACCGCCTGGTTATATCGTAAACCATCAATGCTCCAGCAGCACCACGATAATACGATCGTGTTACGGCTCGAAAACGCTCCTGACCGGCCGTATCCCAAATTTGCAGCTTAATTTTCTTGTCGTCAACCTCAATGATGCGTGTGCCAAACTCCACGCCAATTGTATGCGGACAGTTGGCCATGACTGTGGGCATACAAAGTTGAGAAAATTGTGTACACTGTAATTGTTAGTTACTCACATTTCTTCTCCGTAAACTGGTGCAGCAGACAGGATTTGCCTACGCCCATGTCACCAATGATGATGTACTTAAATATATAGTTGTAGTTATAGGGTGCTGCAGTCATATTGGGATCTGTAAACGATATACAAACATACATCAAATATATTTCGAATAATCGTCGGTTTCTTTGGTAATTCCCACATTTTTCAACGAAATAATCGATGTGTTCGTACAGCTTGTTAACAATGCTTTGGATTTTTGGCACTGTAAAACTCATTTTGCGAGTTACTCAAGAAGGCTAACGAAATGTGCGACCAAATAATTTAAAAGTGCAACTTCAGTATGTGTTGCGCCCTGTGCTTATCAATCAATTGTAGCGCTGCATTAATAAGTTTCAGCGCCGCTTGTTTCTGGATGCCTCTTCTGGCTGTTCCCATTTGCCAGGCTTGTGCTTCATGTTTAAACAGCCGTCCGCGGTTTGTTTGTTGACTGAGCTAAAACCGAGCATTTATATATAAAAAGTTGTTGTCTGGCTTTTGTGCTTCTTAACCCCCTCTTCTGACAGTTTCACATGTAGTGGCAAAGCAACACTTGACGCGTGCATATCAAATTACTGGCCTTTTTAATATGCCGAAATTATGAAAACTGGACCAAATTGCTGAGCTACCACAATTGGAGTCAAGTACAAAGATGCCGAAGTCAAAATAAGAGAATTTAATTGAGAATATTTAATAGTGTACCTAAACTCGAAAAGGTAAAGAAAATAAATATTGTATGTGAGAATTTCAGTTTAAACTAGTTCTCACAAACATCTTATGATAAATACGAATATCGTGTGGGGCATGTGACAAGAAATAATTAATTTATATATATATAAACAAGTTATCGTTTACTCCGTTTTTTACTGTATATTATTAACTCTGAAAGGCATTGTGCTCACATTAAAAATAATAGTTTATTAGCTAAAAATTAGAATATTACAAAATTAATATTGAATAAACGTTATTTAAATAACAATAAAAACAGAGAGTTAATAATAGTACAGAACATGTGAAAACAATTTTAAAAAATATACATTTTTGTCTTGTTTATCCACAAAAAAAGCAATATAATTTTTCCAGTGTTCAGTTAAATTGTAATTCGCTTTTTTATTTATTAATCGGCAATACGATATGAAATACTGTTAAAGTTGCCTCAAGTTCGTACATATATAAATATATATATTTGAAATATTGTATGTAGATTAAGGCTAACTGCTTATCAGTCAATCGCAAAACAATGAACGAAAGCGGGTGTTACGCTTAGGAAACTTCGATGTTGCCTCAGAAACAGAAACAACGATAATAACCGATAATAACTGTAAGCTGCTGCTTAAAATGTCAGCTGTGCATAGAATATGCCGATAATGAGTTTTATATTTATCGCAAAAAATAATTAAATACATTAAGGTGTCTTTTTTTTGGCGAGTGTGTGTATTTATATAAATTTGTGAATATTCCCTGTGGCATGCTAACGCACCGTTACTTTATGAATTAACAAAAGGCGCGCCAGAGCAAAATACCAACAGTAACAACAAGAACAACAATTAAGGGGAGTAGACCAAGACATATCAATTACAAATGCACGAGAGCAAGAGAGAGAGGAGAGTTGCCCTACAACAATAATAACAAGAACAGCATTGCAGCGAGTACTTTATGTGGTACAAGGGAAAGTTATCATTACGGGATATTCAGACTTGCCCCTCCTCCCACCCTTCTCGCTTTTTCCTCTATTCTCACGACAAGCATATTTTGAACTTTAGGCAACGCAAAAAAAAATGCAGCCTAATAATTGGCTTAGTAGCAATCAAATAACATATTACTCACCGTTTTTTTTCTTTCTTTTTGTATTTTGGATTCCAGTACGGAGCACGGGGCTGGAGGGGTGTAATATGGGCTTGTGTGTGTGTATCACTTGTGTATTTGTTTATATTTGCAATTACGCACAGTCGATAATGGCACACAGTGGGGCACCTAATTCAAGTGCAGCACAAGCAAAATAAAATAAACACCAATATATAGAACTTTAATTAAATATGAAAAACCAGATGCACCAAGCAGCAAATTTCTTTTGCGTTTTCTTGTTTGCAAATCGCTGGTGACGAGTTGGTTTGATGTTGCCAGACTGATGCACAGAATAAATGGTAATCAAATTAACAGCTGTAGGAGCAATGCTCTTAGTGTTGGAAAATTGTGCAATTGTTCAGTTGCCTAGCACTATTGAGCCGCACGTGTTCTATTTGTTGTTTATGCCCGATTATTACTATTAAAATGCAGTAATGTTTGTCAACGAAGTAAACGATGTAAAAATCTACAACTTGAGCGCCGGCAAATCGGTGCCAGATGTAAGTAAATGTATATATCAACAGTTAGCAGCGTCTAATAAGTGATAATTCTTTAAAGTGGCTCACCGATCGCCGAAAGCGCTCACAGCTGATGAAGAAGGTGGATTCCCGCCGACAGATCGAGCTGATTCAGGACTTTGATATGCCCGGCGTGTGCACTAGCATACGCATGAGTCCAGACCATCAATATATACTCGCCACAGGCACGTACAAGCCGCGCGTCAAATGCTTTGAGGTGTCAAATTTATCAATAAAATTTGAGCGCTGCTTTGACTCGGAAGTGACCACATTTGAGGTGATCAGCGATGACTACACCAAAATGGTGTTTCTCCAATGCGATCGCTATGTGGAAATCCATGCTGCACATGGCCGGCACTACAGACTGCGTATTCCGCGCTTTGGACGCGACATGAAGTTTCATAAAGCCAGCTGTGATATGTTCATCGTTGGCGTGGGCAGGGTGAGTAAGAACACAAATCTCTTTTAGAATTGAATTAACAAATTGTCTACTAATTAACTAGGATATTTATCGGTTGAATCTTGAGCGTGGGCAGTTTTTGCAGCCCTTTGAATCAGATGCCAGCTCCCTGAATGCTTGCGAGGTGAATCCAGAGCATCATCTGCTGGCTGTTGGCACCAAAGAGGGAACGGTCGAGGCCTGGGATCCACGTAGCAAACAACGTTGCGCCACCTTGGATGTGGCTATCAAACTGCCGGGCATCAAAGAGTTTCCCTCGGTTACGGCGCTCAAATTTCGAAATGGATTGCAAATGGGCGTTGGCACCGCCTCTGGACATGTGCTGCTGTATGATATACGCGCTCGACAACCGTTGCTGATTAAGGATCATTTGAATAAGCTGCCCATCAAGCGACTGTCTTTCAATCCAGCTCAGAATGCCGTCTACAGCTTGGATGAGGCGACTCTCAAGTTGTGGGACGAACAAACGGGCAAACAAATCGCCTATGTGGAGTCGTCCAGTTCGTTTAATGACTTCTGTACCATACCCGACACGGGAATGTTCTTTCTGGCGCAGGAGGATGTGAAAATGTTGACATACTATGTGCCAGCAATGGGACCAGCGCCTCGCTGGTGCTCTTTCCTCGATAATCTCACCGAGGAAATTGAGTCGGAGGTGGTGGAGAATGTCTACGATGACTATCAGTTCATCACACAAAAGGAGCTCGCCGAACTGGGAATGGAGCATTTAATAGGCTCCAGTTTGCTCAGGGGCTATATGCATGGGTAAGTTTATGACTGTAACTATAACCCACACTTTTCTTAAATATGCCTATCCTCGACAGCTATTTCATGGATGTGAGATTGTACAACAAGGCAAAGGCTATTGTGGAACCATTTGCCTTTGACCGCTTCCGTAAGGAGAAAATCAGGCAGGAAATCGAAAGCGAACGCAAGTCGCGTTTGCAAATTGAATCCAAATTGCCCAAGGTCAACAAGGAGCTGGCACTTAAGATTATGGATGAGCAGGTGAATCCGTCGAATAGCGCCAAACAACGCCAAATGCCCAGCTTGCTGCAGGATACGCGCTTCAAGGCCATGTTCGAGAACAGTGATTTTGCCGTCAACAAGGCGGCCGAGGAGTATCGTCTGCTGGCGCCAGTGCTCAATCGCCTGGATAAGTCTAAGGCCAAGGAAATTAAACAGCGTGTAGAAGTTGCACGCGTCGCCGAGCTGCATGCGGAGGAGGCACAAACCCGTGAGGACAGCGACAACGATGAGGATCTGTTTGGCTTTGAGAAGAGCGATGGGCAGGAGAGCAGCGGAGATGAAGCTTCCTCGGATGATGAAGATAGGCGCGAGTATATCAAAGACATGAAACAAGCCTACAAACAGGTCAAAAAACAGCGTGACGAAGAAGAGGACGAGGAGGAGAAGCAGCAAAATGAACACGACGAAGAGGAACCAGATGGACCCGATGATTATGCAGCACCAATAACAAATGGCAACGCCTTAAAGCCGTCCACAAATGGTTCTCAATTCAAGTTAACACCTCTGGACAAACATCAGGGCAACAGCGAGCTGCAGCGGCGATTGAAGCAGGTCAGCCTGCAAGATCGCGTGCGCATCGTGTCCAGCCTGGAAGGACAAGTGACGAACGTTGGTCGCTCCTTGGGCAATAGACAGATGACATTCGAGGTGAACAAGGAAAAGAAATCGCAGCACATGGTCAAGAAGCGGGAGGCGGAGCTTAAAAGGCATCGCGAGGAACGCCGTGGCATTGTGAGGCCAATTAAATCCCTTCGATTGAAGAAAGTTAATTTTAAGTAGGCATTTTTCAAACAGTTCGTGTACATAAAGTTTTAGTTTATGTAAAATTATATTAATCAATTTATATGACCACCTTAAATATCCCCATTTATTCCTCACTTAAGTCGGCAACATTAATAACAAAGTCTTGTTCCCATTCAATTTCGAGATCTTCTGTATTGGGATATTCTATCGGCTGCAAGTCAACAAACTCCAATGGAATAATCTCAAAGTCGCTATCCTCATTATGTAGATTATATAAAGTAGAACTGGATTCAATGCTTATATCTGTGTCAGACAAGGGATCAACAGCAATCTCTTCCTCGGACATCATATCAATATCCAGCTCTCCATCATCAAACTCATCGTGTTCGTATCCTGTATACTTCTCTTGTTCTTCTATATTTGAATTTGATTAGCGCTGACTTGATATATTCTCAAACAACGTACCCAAATTCTGCTGCTGCATATGGCTAATTAAATGCAGCAGCGCCTCTGTTACGGGTCCAGTATGCGGGTCTGGCATTTTTTCGAAATAGAGTTGAAAAAACTTTTCCGAATTGGACATCTTGACGGGCTCCTCATGTTTGCCCGTTTGTGTGCAAGCCAAGAAAGCGGATTGCTCCGCTCCCATGTTATAAGGTTAATAAAAACAGCTTACTTTCAAATTGGTAAAGAGAATATTTTGCTTGCTATATTGTTGAAATGACAGATGAATGGAATCATAAGACAACTCTAGTGGCAGGGTAGACCCAATCAGTCGATTGCCGATTACCGAATCATTTCCGAATGCATTTTCAAAGGATGAGAAAATCAATTCTACTATAATGACTGATTTTTCCACTTTTATTTCAAATAAGCAATCATTTTAGTGTGGGGCAAACTCATCTATTTTCCATTCTCAATTAAACTTTCTAATACATGTAAAGATTAACGTATATACAATATAGGTTGATCCTCATCTCTTCGAGTGTTCGATTTACCTCTATTAACAAATTCTATTTTGATTCTAAACTTTTGGGAATTCCCAAAATATTCACAAACTAAATGTGTACTTGAAATCAATATGCATATATTAGAACAGCTTCATGGTATACGGAAGTTCGACTGTATTGAGATACAGTTCAGTTTAGGACTATTAAAAACATTATGCTTTTAACTAACTATTAACAAATAAACAGAGATTTGATCTACTTTCAAGCTGACTCAGCTTTACAAGATTGGCACAATTTTCTATTGATCTTTTCAATTGAAATGCGTGACATTTATTTATTATTGTTGCTACTAAGCAAGCAACAATATTGAAATTATATTGTTGCTAATTGCTTAGCATTATTTTTTTTCGAGCAGAGCCATTAGTCAGCGTTTAGCATTTGAGTTATTGGCTATAACTGTCATAGAGATACACTCTAACATTAGTATTCCTTATACCATTCAAACGACTGAGCTTTGAGCTTGCCAATTTTACGCTCTTTGAGACTAGCTTTTGGACAAAGCTCAGCTTTGACCGGTCTTTAAATGTGTGTTGTTGATTTTGTATAAAGCCACTATTGTTAATTAAAGTTTATGTGGACCGGCTTGCAGCTAGCTTTATATTGATTTTTGTATAAATAGGCAGCTGTTGTAGAATTTTCAGCTCATTTCCAGTTTTTCGTTTGTGCCGTGTTGTTTCCTTGTTTTTATACGGTAGGTAACGGATTAATCGACATTACTTAACCAATGTGCAGTGCCATAAACATAAATTAATAATTCAATAAAAAACTAAGGATACTAAAACTGATTGGAATAACTAATGCAATTTACTTGTTTTAAAAGCTGACGCCCTAAGATAGCTGCCATTTAAAAGTATTCAAAACATTTTCATTTTCTGTTTTTGCATTCTCTTGTAATTTTTCTGTAATTAATAATCTCATTGTTTTCACAGTTTTTCACATTTACAAATTGCGTGACATTAAACAATGGTTATTCGATTTTCATATTTAAAGATGATGAACTGAAAAGCGTGTTTCAAGCTTCAATGAACAGCATAATATGTGTATATGTATAAATATATATTTATTTTTTTTATTATACATTACAAAATCCGACAATTGAGGTTTTGGGAGAAGACAATACATATGTATGTGGAACCAATGAGTTTTTATTTTTAAATAAATAAAGCAACCGGTTCGACAAAGGCACAGAAATACTATTGTAAATAATCAAGCACCAAAAACAAGAAAAAGACAACACATTAATGTTGCTAGACAAAACGCCAACGACAACTTGTTCAATGCTGAACTTTAACATATAGCAAGATATATGTTAATATATTTGTACAGGTACATGTATATAAGAAGAAAAAAAATACTCAGAAATGAGGTATGGCACAGAGTGTGGTAAAGTACAGAGCCAAACTGGCTTGACACATTTTTTTGTATATTTCTTTAAGCATCGACAAGGTCTTAAATGCTCGACTGCGTCGGCGTGTGAATTGGATGCTTTCAATAGGATCGTAGATCAATCAGAGGCTGAATTGTTGAAACGTGTAACATGAAACACTTCGTTGCCTTGAACTTGAAGCGATCATACATAGGTTCAAACGCTTACAGGAAATGTTATGCGCAATTGAAACATTTCCCCCTCACGTTTTGCCTGTTCAACTATTAGCGCAATAAACAATATGATTTGTTGTCCCAAACCCAGTTCACCGATTAGTTAAATAAATGTACTGGAAACTGGTTTGTTTTTTATTCGAATTTCGAATAGGTCCATAAACCAGTTATTTGATTTTTTTCTAAAGCTCTTTTAATCAGCATGCAAATGCAACCTGGCCAAAATGATTATTATATCAACATATGTGGTATCTTTTTATACTTATACTTCTTCCAAGGGTTTACGAACAACACGTGTCATAATTCTTAAACATGATTTGAGCCTTGCACGGTCTTAAAGCTCTTCTTTTGTTACCGGCTTTAAATTGGCATTTGGGAACGGGTCCAATTATTCAAGGCCAAACGCCAGCTGTACAAACTGCATAGGCAAACAATCGTTGACAAATCGAATAGGCGGGTTTTGGTTTTGAATCTACACATAAATTTCAAATGCAATATGGAGATATAATGTTTAAAAAAACTACATGTAGCCACACAACTCGACAACAAAATCAAGCTTGCCAAGGTTAATTCATTGAAAAAAAAACCACAACATTTGAAAAAGTCGCACTTCAGTGCAAATGTTAATTGCTTAATTAGTCAAAACTTGTATTTGCAATTATCTGCATAATTATATGAAAATAAACAAACTAAAAACATTTTGATTAAAAGATTAATTGCAAGAAGGACTTAAAACTAGGACAATATAGAATGTAGATAGAGAGAACAAAGAAAAAGTGAATACATTTGGAAAACATTTATTAAATCAAAAGATCTTCTTCTAAGGACAATTGCCGTTACTTTGTTCAATTAAAATATAAATGATTTCCAATAAGTTTTATATAAAAAAAAGAGTAAACAAAAATAATCGTATTATTTTTTTAGTTTGACTGCTTAACTGGGAATTATTAAAGTATAACTTTTAAAGAACATATTCTTAATTTGTCCAACTCATTTTCAAAGCATTTCAGACTGTTCAAATAAATAATTCCCAATCAATTAAAACCAGTTCTTTGAATATGTACTTCAACATTACATTATTAAAATAATGATAACTCTCTCATAAAACAAATCTTTATATTTTTTAATATTCTAGAAACGATGTTCCGTTTGCTTTTGATTGCCGCTTGTTTGGCTGTGAGCGTTAATGCCTACTCCGAAGGTGCTCCAAAGGCTGCCTGTCGCGATCTGACGCCGCAGCATGGAGCTGAGCTGCAGACCAGCAAGCCACCATACAGTTTCTCTGGCCCATCACATGTGCGCGGTGACCAGCAGCTGACGTTGACTTTGGGAGGCGCTGAGTTCTTGGGCTTCTTGATTCAGGCTCGCGATGGTCAAAATCGTGTAGTTGGACAATTCCAGGTTGTCGACGCTGAGCACTCCCAGACATTGGACTGCTCGGGAAAACAGGCAAGCTTAAGAGGGCAAAATACTATTGATTTCAAAGCTAATAATGAGATCATATCATTTTAGGATTCTCTGACCCACTTGAAGGCAGTCAAGGGCAGCCCACTGAGCGGTGTCACCTTTGCCTGGACTCCACCAGCGGGTTACAAGGGCAATGTCAAGTTCATGGCTACTGTGGTGCAAACTGGCTTTGTCTACTGGGTGGGCCGCGTCACCAAGGATATTGATGTGGAGTAAATGATTTGCTTTCAATGTTTGTTTCAAATTGCTTTAACTTTAGATTTTCCAATTGTTTCTGTTTACTTTGGTCCATTTGAAGGATAATGGAATTATTGTGATACATATTTCATGAGTTATGTAAATGTCTCAACTTGTTTGTAACAGTTTGTTGATCAGAAAACAGTGTTTGAAAACAGTATTTTTTTCAATAAAGTCAAATACGAAAATAAACATTTGAAATGGGACTTAATAAAATTAAAAGGATGTATTATCTAAGTTTACTCAATTCAAATTGAAATGTGACTGAATGCTTTTCCATGCCGATTTCAATTGCGCGCTGATATATGCCAATTAGTGATGTTAATTATCGATATCGATATACTCGGTAATATCGTTGACATACCGATAGTTTCCTCTGCCGTACCTTGCCAGATCGCAGTCCTAGTGGCAACACTGTGCATTAAACAGCTGTTCGTCGATTTTCAGCACGTACGAATTGTTTATAATACTTGAGTCAACTAATTACTACAAATACAGAACACAGCAATACTTGAAATATGTTGCGCAATCTGGCGCGCAGCTTGGAATGTGGTCTAAAACTGCAGCTACATACGGCAACACCTCTACTCGCAAAAACAACGCCAAATGCACGTAGGCCGCTGTTTACACAATACGAATACGATGGCCACACGAGATCGAAGACGAAACCGGATCTTGCAACTACGGCCAGGATTAGCAACCATGCGATGCTAGGCACTACCAGCGAGGCTGACAATGAATATGTGCCGTATCGTACGGAGCTCGAAACTGGCAGCCCCATTGCCGTATTAATTTCAGCGCTACGCGAACGTTTCCGGCTAACAGATGACGAAGTGCAGCGCATTGTGAACGATGAGCAAGTGCATCGCAGCTATCGTAATCGCAGTTTAATACATACGCTGGACACGCTTCAATTGGAGGGCGTAAACAAGCAGAGCTTTTTGGAATATCCCTGGCTGCTGGCTTTGGATCAGAGTAAATAGTAACTTGCCTTAATTCTTAAGTCTAAACTGAATGCATTATCGTTTCTAGAGCGGCTGGAGCTCAAACTGAGTCTAATCAAGACAATGCATATGCGTGATATCAACCACTTTGTGCCCTTTCTGCGATTAACGGTGCCACGCCTCCGCAAGCTGGTGAGCGCCCTAAATGCGGAAACAAGCGAAATTGCACAAAAGAATCGCGTCTACTACATCAGCGAGACGCTGGAAGTTAAACCGGAGATTGTAACCAAATATCTGTCGAAACGACTGTTCATACTGGAAATGCCGTATGAAATGTTCGAGAAGAACTTACAGCACATGATTCATTACAATGTGTCGCCCATCAACATACTGAAAGATCTATGGGCCTTTCGCTATACACCCAAATCGGTGGAGCTGCGCTTAGAGCGAGCCCAGCGGGCCAAGAAGGATAAAATAATGCCTTGGATGGTGCGTTGTCCGGAACCAATCCTACAGCGGTGAGTATAATCGTTTGTGTGAACTTTAGGTAAAAACTGAAAATCCGCAGTTCTTTGAAGCTTTCCCTGGACGAGTTGCAAGTGTTGGGCGAGTTCTCTTCAGTTGTAGAATATGTGGCGCATCGCTTGGGTTTTAGTGTTACTGAAGCCAAGGCCATTATGGACAGGCATCCGCAAGTGCATACAGTACGCGTGACAAAGGTCCAAGAGAATACATATTTAATTTTAAAATATATTTTAAAGTTTATATTTCTTTCAGATCAAGGAAGTGTTGGACTATTTGCTTAATGAGGCCAAATTCACGCGCTTTGAAATTGCTCAGGTGCCGCGCATTTTATGCCATAGCCTAAAGACCACACAGCAGCGCATGGAGGAGCTGGCTTCACTTGGTTGTAGACCCTCGTCACTGGTCATCCTATGTCGCAGCTTGCGGGAGTATGAAAAGTTTCTGCAACAATGGAGCCATTCCCGTGAAGCACCACTGCCGGCATCAGATAAACAGCAGTTGAGCAGCTAGAAGCACTGCTAGATCAGGATATAATATAGCGACTGATTTATAGATATATATTTATTTTTTGTTTTCATTTTCTATATTTTGTTGATAAAAGAAGAAATGTTTTGGAAAGCAGGAGCTGGTGGTTTGGTTTTCCATATTTGTATATTGGTTTTTCCACGCAATTTATTTAGACAGCAACTTTTTAAGTATTTGAATAACTTATTTTGAAGACATAAATACACATTTATATATATATATATATAGTTAATGAAACATTATAATGCGTGAGTAAATTTAAACAACATGCTTAGCTAACATTTAAATACGTTTTGTGCTATCTTTATGAATACCATTCAATAATTGTACTTGAAACAGAGCCGAGCGGTTGGCAAGTGCCCATCTTTTGATTTGTGACTGCTTGACTTAGACTTAGTAGCTAGAGAAGACATTGAAAACAGGCAACCTGATTGAACATAGTTTAGAAATACATAAATATAAAGCTTTTGCTTAAACATATCAATACCATTTAATGAATTGGGCGTTCTCAGAATCGCCAAATAAGCTCGATAAAGTTGCGACCACAAAAAACTAAAAGCTAAGAACCTCTTTGTGACAACTTAGAAATATCTTTGGTTGGTAGCGGTAGTGTATAGGTAGGTAAATCAACTAGTTATAGATTGTAGATTGTACTGTGCAATTTAGTCACGTAGCGCCCTGCGTCGCTCCCAGGCCACCTGCATGGACCAAATGCTCAAGGGTCGCATGTAGCCAATGGATCGATAACGTTTCTCGCCATATAGCGCCTCTGGGGTTTCAAAATTCATGCCGATCCGCTGTGAAATGGTCTTGTACATGCCGCCCGCCGTCTGGAAGGCCTCCTCGAACATGCCTTCCTGTATCATGGTGGCAGCCAATGCGTACACAACGCCCGGCCACACCTCCTCGGCCTGGATATTGCTGTTGTCCACATGGCCCGGCTTTGATGGCTCGTTGGCATTCGCTATGAAGCCATTGGCCGCTCCAATGTTGCCTTCATGAAAGCCCATCACATTGTTGTCGTATATGCGTTTTAGAGCGGTGCGTACATTCTCTTTGGGATAGATTTCATAGTCAAATCCGCAGGACTTTAAATACCAATGGCCACATAGCTGATCGGCCATAATTGTATCGCGATGATTATGCGATTGATCGAAACGATAATAGCTGCCATTCCAGAGCTTCTCCTCGAGCGAATTCTTGCCCCTCTCCAAGATGTCCTGGTAGCGCAGGCAATCGTTGGGCTGATCCAGAAGCGTTGCCATTACAGACATGGTTTGCAGCGCAGCCAGCCAGAGGCCAGCACAATACGCACTTGGCCCATCCATGACCCAAGAGTCGTATGTCTGATCCGGCATTTTGGTGTTCTCAATGAGTCCATCGTTATCCTTGTCATACTCAATGGTGCGTTCCATAATGGCCTTACAGGCGCCGTACATTGCCTTCAGATAGCTCATAGCATCCATGAGATATACCTTGCCATTCGTCTCATTGATGTACATCGAAGCCGACTTTCGATTCTCTGCAAGTTTATGAAAAATAATTCATTAGATATTCGATATAATTAATACTATTAGGCTTTTAAGATGTTTACGCTGCTTTTCATCCGCTGAGTTCTTGCGCTTGTTGTCCTGCGTGTAAAGCTCATACAAACTCTCCTTGTCGATAAACTCAATGGAACTGAACTTGCTGGCATTATCCGCCTGGGCCTGGGCCAGTTCATTCAGCACATAGTAGTCTCTATAGACCTGCAGCACAAACTTGGTATTGAGATCCTTCCACTCGTTCACATCGTGTATATTATAGCAGTTGATAAGCGTGAACGGTTCTATAAGATGGTTATAATAATAATTGTAATAAACTGATATAAGGATATTATGTTTGGCAACTTACCTTCGTCGGGATCACCGAGATCGTGTGGCACACAGTTCTTGACTTTCCGCGGCATCACCTTGCCATCGTACAGCATTTTGCGTGTATCACTGAGCTCAGCAGCAATCGCATCCTTGAAGTCATACTGCAAACTCACTTGCAAGTTGGGCCAGAGATGGGCCAAAGCAGGCGATGCATAGAAATGTACATCGTATGTATTATACATGCGATATTCATGACCCTCCAGATAGCCAAAGCGACCATATGCCAAACGCGGATCATCAAAGGCCAACGGTTTGCCCAGCGACGTGTCGCACTTGAGCCACAATGTGCCGCCATCCGAGATGAAATACAGCTGATTAAATATAGCACATTTATACCAATCGGGCAAGCCGCTGTGAATGAAAATTGTATTTGATATCTGACTAGTTATCATAATTCAGTACATAATACAATGGTCGCTTGCAAATAAGAGATTTTAGAGATTACTTCAATTTTGGAATCATTATAGTCTTATGAACAGAAGAAGAAGAGAGAATTTAAGACTTAGATTTAAGTAATCCTATAATTCTCTAGTTAAACAGCGACCAATGAATTTGAGACCTACTCATCATTGAGAATGGGACGCTGCCAGGCATCGATGAGTCGCTCCCAGCTGGCATAGTGCTTCAGCGCATATTCGCATATCCTGGGACCCGATTCGCCGCTATCATCAAAATATTTGGTATAGTAACGCGTGTGCGTTTGCAGTTTGCGTGGAAATTGTATTTTTGGCATATCCCAGGCCAGAACGAACTCCAAATCATGCGAGGTCTTTGGCTTGAGAGCCAAATGTGCGCAGACGGCGACACCAATGTCCTTCGCTGTGGTAATTATTTCGAATTGGTTTAAAATTATTCATATATATATATAAATATATATTGTACTCACTCTTGAGACTCTCCGCAGTGGGTTGTTCGCTGAGCTGACCGTGCTCCTTGAGCTGCATCCACAGCTGCTCACCATTGCCAGCCGGATCGAACTGAGGACAGCGCGTGATGCTAATCTCGGGCAGAACGCGACAGGCGAGATTGTAACTGCAGGGCATGTCGCCAATTGTCTGCCTAATAGCCACGCCCTTGGCATTGCCCTCGCTAATGAGCTGCGACTCGGCATTGCCCTCTCCATCCTGTTTCTTGTTGCCGGTGCCGTTCTTGAAGGTGAACGTAATCGATACCTTGCGCTCATGATCGCACACATTTTGGGCTGACCACACAAAGACGGCACAGGGCAGACTGGACTCCTTGTAGTCGTGTGGAATGACCGGCGAGATCTGGCGACAGATCAAACGTACGCCATAATGCGACAGATCGTATTCGGTCCATGAGCGTGGATATAAACCCGTATAGCTGCAGCGGGCGTCCTCGATGTTGGAGTGCCAGGCACTGAGCGGCTGCCTGGAACGACTGCTGCAATTGGGCAGTTGACATTTAGATTTCTGTGCTTCGGCCTCATCGGCCTCTGCATCGTTGTTGTTGGGCTTTGCCTTGATTGATTTTGTGCTTTATATATATATATATATATTGATGGATAGTTTTTTTTTTTTTTTTTTTTGCATTTATGAATGGAATGTTGATTAGCGCGCAAAAGCAAAGCAAACCAAATCGAATCCCAAAAGCAAAACAATCCCAAAAATGTATATAGAGAAAAGTTCGTTCATGGTTTCCATTTCCCAGATTCAAAACGTGTTTACAGAGATTGTTGTTGTTGTTTGTTGACGAGAGTGTTTTATATATTTGGTGGGTGCAGCAAAAATGAGAGAAAAATATCATATTGTGAAATTATAAATCAAATTCTTTGTCATTGGCATTCAATTTTGGCGCAGGCCGATTATAAATGAATCCCCAGAACCATTATGATGTAGTAAATTTGTTTGTGCAGCTTATGGAAAAGGTACTTGAAGTAAATTAGCTAGACTTGTACACGTAGGGGTAGATTTAGATTTAGATTAGATTTAGTTATCACAAGTTGTAGAAGAAACTAAATAGTTATATATACATTTGTCATTTGTCTGAGTCATCAACTTGTCAAAAAAAAAATAAGATAAGATTTTCATTAGAACAAAAAAATAATCTACAAAATACACTTTATAGTTTTAAATGTATAATTGAAAAGCTGATGAAAAAATGTAAATCAACAAATATCATTTACAGTTCGATTGCTGATATTATTAACCAACTATTTTTAATTCTTATAATCTAAATAGCAGAAAGAAAACAGTTGATTCAACAAACAATAATATAAATTCCTCAAGTTGCGTGTAATAAAAACGGCTTTCAGAATAACAACGAAGAAAAAAACATTTATGAAAAGCGTTTAGCGTAAATAAAACATTAATAAATAAATGCATGCGTTTGTGTAAACATCAAAGGGAGCTGATAAAATGTGCGATTTTAATGTGGCACGTGGCACGTGGCAAGTGACATCAAAGTACATGTGAAAGCATTGAGTATGGCCAATTAAGGGTAGACTTAAAATCTAACATTCAAATTAGATCATTTCATTTAACAAGCGACTCACCTGCACTTGGAGAGCAGGCTCTGAAAGATGGTACAACCCTTGTGATCCTTAATGGTGACTATAAACTGATTCGCCTGCACCACATTGTACTCATAGATGCCGGGACGCATTTGAAAGCGACAGAATTCGCCGGCATAGCCGCGTCCAATGCTGCCACCACCGATGCCGCCAATGGGCACACCATACATCTGCTTACCATTCTCCATGTAATAGTAATCCATGTAGACACGACGACCTTCCCGCGACACCTTCCAGTAGTAGGCCGCATATCTGCAAGAGCAAATGGAAACCGATATCAGTCAAGGGCGACAGGCAATTAGATTGGGATTCACTTCATAATGACGATGATGATGTCACAACTGCGTGAATGTTTGCCTGGCCCCAATAATATGTGGCATGTGTTGCGGATAACGGTTTGCTTTGTTTGCCTCTCTTGTCACTTTGGGGGTTGTTGTGTGCACTCTCACACACATATATATGTAAATATATATATATATATACGTATGTATATCGAATTTAGGGATGGTCACTTGGCCAGCTTAACATTTTACCCAGTGTCTCAGTTTGAAGGTCAGTGTCTCAGTGGTGCCGTTGGCCCAGAGTCAAGTCCAAGGTGTGAGCTGCACGGAAACCAAACCCAGTTGCCAGTTTGACTACTGACTAGTATATATATATATATATATATAGTATATGTATATTCATACATAGTATATGTTTGTAAGAAGAGTATGCCTTAAGAGCCATATTACACTTAATGGGAAATCAAGCTGGCAGGTTCTATGAACTTGATTACTAATTATAGGCCGAATTCAACTGCACAGCAGTTAAAAGAGTTATTTATAGACTCACTATATAAATCGGTTGCTTTACTTTGTAATCAAGCTAAAATCAAAAATATAACTTAAAATATATGCATATTTAACACAAATTAATGTAAATGAACATAATTTTGAAGAAATATTTCTTGGCACATTATTATTATATAATTCACTTAAAAACCCCTCAAACGACATTTGAATTCTTAAGTCATTTCTAAATTGGGAACCTCATTATTTATGCTCTCTCTCTATATCCATATACCTCTGCAATTAGCTCTCTTTAATAGACAACGGCTTCGATCGAGTGCTACCAAATTGGCGTGACACTTGAATACACACCTATTGGGTGACTAATGGGCAAGTGTTGTGCATACCAAGAAGGCAAGTGTACACTGCAAATGTTAATTCCATATGGACAGACAATATGGGACTTAATGGATGTGTTGTACACACAGCAATAATAATAATAAAAAAGCTTAAGTGAATCCATTTAAATTAAAAATAACCGCAGTCTGCAGCCAGCTAGCTTAAAGAACTCATTAAAAAGTTGTCAAGCACAGACTCACAGAGGGAAGTGGGGCGGGGAAACAAGGTTCAGTAGGCAAAGCAAGCGTGGAACGCATGATTGACTCAAAGAGGATTTGCGGATCATGCAACAGACGAGATAAGAGAGCCGCAGATGCGATTCAATTTCATTTATCCAATTAATTTCAATTTAAGTAATGCAATATCTGCTTGCTGCTTGCCACTTTTGAGTTACCCTTACCCATCTGGTTGACTGCTTAATGCCTTTGCAATTGAAATGATGAATTAAGAATGATGGCACTGATTCAAAACAATCCACATCATTAGCAGGGGGCAAAGCTCTTGACTTCTTAGTTAGCCCTTATCACAGAGCTATTTATGAACATTGTTGTGGCAGTGACTCTAGTGACACTTTTAATTAGTGGGGTTTTCGTTGTTTCCGGCTTGTAAGTACACTCAAAAAAATATAAATAAAAATGACAGAATTCGCTCAATTATATACTTTCTGAATAATAAGGTGAGCTAGCTTTGGCAACAAGAGTATGATGATTTTTCATAAAATTCAATAGTTTATTAATGAAATTAAATTTCCAAAAATCAATTCTGAGATATAGTTTCTGATAAATATAAACAAATATGTTTATGAAGAGGCCTTCAATCTGGGAATACACTGAATAGTTATTTTAAAGATAGACTTCGATGTGATGCGCTTGGTCCTGTATTTTCTTAAAAGTTATCGATAGCTTATCGATTGTTAATTTTTAAAAGCAAACGATATCAGTTGTCAAAATCTTTGGAGTTACTGTTTCTGAAAACAGGACGACAGAAAGTAATCTAATTTCTTATGAGCACAAGTGAATTCTTGTTAGGGGATTCTTTATTCACATGCATCTGATTAAAGGTATTTCTTTGACATGTTGCAGTTAATCCATGGGTGTTACTTGGTTTCTACGAGTTATCGACACAACTTATCGATATTTGATCTCTTTTTTAAATTGAATTTTTGATTTTATTGCAGAGTCCGTACGTGTTGCCCGATCTGGATCAAATTCATTACTCAAAGTTAACGATTCTTGATATATATGTTTTCATTTGGTTAATTGTTGTTTGCGGTGTTTTACTTGACTTGAATCAAATCCAAGACATTTTCAAGACAGATCGATAACTTGTCGATTCTTTTCTTATAATCCATCTTCATTTGATTCGTTTTCATATAATCCGTGAGTTTTTAATTAAAGACTTTGAATTGCAAATTTTTTTCGCCATCAGGCTGTGCGAGATCCGAAAGATTCTGTGGTTAAGGGAAGGTAAACTATAAAATTTATGCCAAACGAACCAAAATCGAGGAATGTATGTCGTTTTAGTATTATTTAGTGCGCTTCATATTTAGCTCCCAGTCGCCGGCACCAGCGGAACGCTTACGCAACTTGGACGAGTCTCTCTTCGTCTCGTCCAACGGCGGCGTAATGCTGGTCAGCTCCTCTTCGCAGAGCACCGAGGCAAACAGCTGGGCAACGAACTCGGCACGCTGAGCCAAAAACAAGGATTGCTCTTCATGCGGACAGGGCGCAACGGATGCGGTGGACAGAAAGCGATAGCATAGAAAACGTTCACTTTCCTGCTCCAGCTGGTTGGCATCGGGTGTGCATTGCTCCTCCACCACCTCCTCCTCGTCGATGGTGTTCAACATGATCGCACCGGAGCGCATATTACGCTCAAGCTGGCCATGAATGTCAGTGGACAGCTCACTAAGCTCAAAGAGACGTTGAGCCGCATTGGTGATATTTGCTAGACCCGCACCGGGTCCACCTCTCAAGCGCTCTACATGCATCCGGCCAGCGCTGGCCGGACGACCCTCCAGCTGCATTCGAACGGGACGATGTCGTTGGGTGCGTGTTCTGGCCGCGCCGCCATTGAAACCAACGAGAGTCATGTTGCGACCATTGCTGCTTGGATTGGGCTCCTGATTGGTGACGATGCGAACATTGCGTGGACGATTCGCTCGAATGGTGGGCAACAGCTCAGTAAAGTGCATCACATCCGATGACGGCATGGACGGGTCAAAGTTCAACTGCTGTTGCGCCCTATGACGGAGACGGACAAGCCGCTGACGTCGCACCTCATCCGGTATGAAAATGTTATTATCCACATTGTCGTTGCTGCTGGATGTGGTCAGGGTGACATTGTCAGCCACATCGACTGCATCGGGTTTGTCCATGCGAAAGGTCACCTGACGTTCGCGTTGATAGCTGCCATTAGGATTGAGCGGTTCCAGATACAACTCCAGCGAGCCCTCATTGCGATTCATGAGCTCATTTCGAGATTTGGCCGTCGAGGCGAACATCGCCAGTTGCTCATCCTCCAGAAACAGACGCACCGCCTGCTGCTGCTCGAACAGTGTGATAATTGTGGACACAAGCAGTGTGCTGGCGTTCGCATGCTCAGCGGAGATGTGCTCGAGAAATGTGGACTCATTGTAGCCCCACTGCTTGCAGTAGGGACATCTGTAGCTCTGCGGCGGATCATTCAGATATTCACCGCCAAAATAGAACTCAACATCGGCGGGCGTGTAGACGCACTTAACGGGATGATCGAACGGATGCTCGGCGTTGGTGAAATCATGCTCATAGCACTCTGCACACAAATTAAAGTCCTGGCAGCTCAGACAGCGATAGCAGAGACCCGTAAATTCCAGCTTGCTGCAACCCGTGCAGACAATGTTCTCATGACGATTCATTGTACGATCTTTTGGATATTCGTCTCTTGGATTATGTCCAACCAAATAAATAACCATTAGTATTTTTTGTTCTTGTTTCTGTGGACTTACCCAATTGAGGAATTATTTATAGAAGTAATTTTATCAGTATATTACAAAATGCATAAAGAATACAAACAGAAAGTTGTAATATATTGCTTAGATCTTTTAGTTGCTTGACTGGAGGCGAATCGAATCTGATTTTGACAAAATATATATTTCCAGATTATAAAGTTAGCAGCTACTGTCTCGAACAACACTATTTGAATAGGTTTTATTTATTTATAGGATATGATCGTCAAAGGTCTTTGTCAGCATTGCTAAACAGTTGCTTGCTCTACAAATTATGCAACCCATTTAAAATTGAAGACATGATTCAAATGCTACTCAAATTGCGATAAGACTCGTAAAATAAACATTTTATTGCACGAAGTTGAGAGATTGATTTAGTAATAGTAAACCGAAAATTCTTGCCCAACTCCATGCATAAAAATAAACATTTCTTGGATGATACACTCAGAGAATTGTGCGATAATTGGTTCAGTCTGCCCTAAAATGAATAATCTAAATAGACTTTTAATTGGTTTGCAGTCAATTCCAAGTGGAACTGACACCAGTTTGCTGCCCGTCATTCAATTCATTTCACTTCATCCATTCAACCGCCCATCAGTTGGCCGGCAAAGTGCAACAGCAACAGCAACATTGCCAACTTCATTTGTTACTTGCCACAAGCGATTTGCCTCGCCGTTGCCGTCGTTTCCATTTCTTTTCTTTTTTATCTTTCCGCCCTCAAAACCCACTTGAGCCACGTTGACCTGCCGTTTCCCACTTGCAACTAACAAAGTTTCGCTGTCGACCCTTCGTGTTGCAATGTTGTCAGCATTACGGATCGGGAAGGACACTTGAATGGCCGGCAATTCAATTAAAAAGCTATTTTCAAATCAGAAATAGACTCGAGCAAGAAATGTGCACAGCATATGGTAATCAAATCAGTAGAAATCTAGAAATGAAATCGGGATACAAATTGCAAACAAATTGTGTGGTCAGGGAGAAAGTCAGTGAGAGTACGAGAAGGAGAGCGATGGACAGCGTCAGAATATGAAACCGAGATATAAATTGGACAGAAAATTAAAGATAGAAATTCATTCTTAGATTTGCAAGTTCATAAAAATATGTTTTTAGCTTAGAAACAATAATTATCTAATGCATTCCAACAAATTCAAATTTGAGGAGAGTAAAAATACTGATCAGATCAGATGGATCCATTGAATAATATAAATTAGTTGAGCTATTTGCATGGGTCTCATTTGAAATTCTTATTTGAGGCAATATTTAAAAGGCTAGAAGACAATTTCCATAATTAAACACTAATTTTTAATTCATTCGTCAGCTCGTATATCCAATTAAAAAAATGTTCTATAAATCTTTCATTGAGCTGCGATTTTCCTATACTAAATATATAATTCCATAAATATCAAAATGCCCCATACACAAGTAGTGCACACAGGCATCTTAAATTGGTGTTTTTCAGTCTTACAGACAGAAATAAAAAAAAAGATGCTAAAAAGCAAAGCCAAAAATAAACAAAATGCGACAAGTCGAGAAACTAAAAGGAAATGCGACAAGAAAACTCTAAACAGCAGCCAGCCCCAGAAACTCCCAATGGAGACGAGCGGAAGAAATGTGAAAGAACTGAAATGCCTGGCATAGAAAAACAATAAGGAAAAGTGCTTTTGGGGAGTGCAGACTGAATGCCTGGATGAGCATGATGATTTGAGGGCAAGAAAATAAAAGAAAGCAGAAAAAAGGGGAAAAAATAAAAAAGAAATAAAAATGTGTGTACAGCAATCCATTCAGATGAGGACTATTCACCCCTAGGATGCAGTTCAAGAATAAAACAGCAAACTGAACTGTTAACTGAAACCGAAGAAAATGTATCGTTATACAGCAAAATGTGATTATTCTTACAGGTCATGTATCGATCAAGCACTTAAATATGAAAGTCGCTTTGTAACCCAATTAAAATGGTCTCTGCATTGGGTATAAAAAAGCACACCTTGTCGCTTGGCAAACACATTTCATTTACTACCGAGATGATGACGATAAGGTATAAAAAAAAAGTGCACACATTACTTTCATGGCAGAGAATCATCCAAGATGTTGCCATTTTGGATTGGGTGCAAATGGCCAAATGGCAAAAAGGAAACGGAAATTGTTGAGATGACTGAAGCGAATCCGCTCTGAATTTTTCAGCAGTATTTGCGAATCGTTGCCTTCCTTCAACTGGGTCACAGTCTGGAGAGCTTATCGGAGTCAACGGCTATAAATAGACCCTGTAGTTTACTAATAGTAGTATTTGCAATGCCCATTCGCATTTGCCAAAGCATTTTGTAATCTATTTAGGTTTCTTTTTTATCAAAATGAATTTATAATAATTGAACAGCTGACAAGATAAGATTATTCGAAATGATTTGAGAATATTTGAGAGATTTCGACTTGGATATACCCTAAGCTCAACTGTTAGACAGTTGTTCAAATATATATTGGTATATTCATACTCAATTTAAGGGTGTGGCTTTCATTGCTAACGGAAATCGATTTGTATCGATTGATGAGCAGTTATCGATCATGTGAAATTACTTCAAATTTGTACTCCGGCTCTTAAAGACTCCAATATGGGATTGTTCATGCAGACAGATATGGTTAAATTGACTCGGTTTTTGATGTTGATCAAGAATATATATGTATGTATTTGGTGGTCGGATATGCATTATTTTGTATACTTTTGCACAAATTTATTATACCCTCTTATAACAATGGGTCCGGGGTCCAGGCAGCCTTATCTGTTGGTGTTTCTAGGAATAATTTGTCCATTCAACGCAAGAAGTCTTCACTTAAAACCAACTAGACGCTTTTATAAATAGCTGATTTGATGACAAACACTGTTTCCAAATGACATCACCGGGGCTAAGGTTAAACCAGGTAGTTCAAAACACTTCAAAATCATATTACTCATATTAAGCTTAAATAATTGTAATAAGATCCCACAAAAAGTAATTCAGCTGACAAGGGTAAAACAAAAATCTACACTACATTCTTAGATAAGGAATAAAATGATACAATGACTATGTTATCAACTACCTACAATTAGCAACCGAAATGTTTAGTGATTAGAATAACAAAAACACAACAAATACCAAACATTTTATCTCTATATATATATTATACATACAACCTCGTCAGCGTTACAAAACTAAAATTACGAATTACGAAACATATTAAGTAGATCTAGATACATAGATGGATAGATAGATAGGTCGGTAGATAGATAGATAGATTGATAATATTGCACAGAGGTGTCAGTTCAAAGATAAATAAAGCAATGACAGTGTTTGTTTTTTGAGAATAGCGAACACATAAAGTTGAATGAAATATTCAAGATACAGATGCTTCATAAGATTTTTATCTACTTTATGTGTAGTTAAACGACCGTGTCTAAGATGCTGACCCACATTCGGAGGCAAATGCAAGTTTGTCGGCGAGTTCATTGCACCGCATGAACAAGGAGAAGGGATGGATGGGTGGGTGGGTTGTTACTATTTGGTGGCTTAGGTTTATGTTCAGATTTAAGTTTCTTTTTTTTTCTTTTGCGTCCAGATAGGTCAGTTCACTTGGCGCTGATTGCCTCGTTGGCAGTGCATAAATGGAACAGCTGAGGATTCGTGACTGTCGTCGTGTCGATTGTTTGTGTAAAGCCAAGGCAAACAAACTGCAAACATGTTAAGCTGCCTCAAATGTGGCCAGGACACGCTAACATCCGCCCAACTTGGCGCCAATGCGGGCAGACAAAAAGGGGTCGACCATTTTGGGGCGTGGCGCCACTGAAACTGATGCGGGCTGCTACAAAAGCCAAAAATGACGTAGTACTCGTAGTACGTTTGGTCATATGGCTCTTATCAAAGGACTCGGTTGCAATTGAAGTTGCACAAAATGTATATGTAAATGTAATCCATATTCAATTTAGGGCTGCCAATATTTAAAGAACGGTTTAAATATTATAAAACAAATTACACTAAAGGTGTAAAGGTTAGCATAGTAAAATATAAAAACATAATAATAATATATACAATAATTATTCAATTCAAAAACTGTCACGTTTAAGAATCGTGTCACGCAACGCTCCCATCACTAACTGTGAGCCTTTGACACAGGCGAATTAATGTCGTTTAGTTGGCGCCAAGCGAACAAAAGTATAGAATTTATATACATATATATAATGTACGTATATATATATGTGTGTTTGTGTTGCCAGGACCTGACTCTATATTTGGCAACACGCACGGGCAGCCCTGTTATTGTGTGTTCAGTCAGTTTATATATATATTATTAGGCCTGGTATTGATTTCGCATTATGTGGCTCAATTAATTATTTACACAGCATCTGCGACTGCGGCGCTGACGTCGACGTCAACGTCGAATACAACTCACCTGCAAACAAGTGGAACCATTGGCAGCGATTGTTTTATCGATGGCCGCAGATTCTGATTGCGTTTCTCTGGCCAAACATGATCGAATTTCAGTTTCAATCCATAATGCGGCACAGCAGACAATTCACAATTCGATTCACCGTTGAACACCGATTGCTGCTGCTGCTGCTCCTCCTGTTGCTGCAGTTGCTCTGCATAAACAGCGCTTGCCGAATCTGCATTCCCATTGGGAATTGTTGTTATTGTTGTTGTTGTGGTTTTAGTTGCTTCTGCTTCTGCTGCTGTTGCTGCTGTTGGCGACGCCATTTCGAGTGCTTTTGACTAACTTCGGTTTTTCCACAATTTCGCTTGGCTTTGTTGTTGTGGATTTCTGTGTGATTGCGTGGTTTATTAATCCAATTGCGTGCACTTCATATTAGTATTGTTTCTTTTTTTTAGAAATACAAACACGCGCGCTCACTAATCGCAGCAGCAACCAGCAAGCAGAACCGTCCGCGGCAAAAAACTAACCGAGAATAAAAAATTTAGTTACAGATATCGAGAGAGAGACAATCAAAAAAAAGAGCTTTGGTATGTGCAGCGCCTATCTATGTTTGACTATCGCAAGCCCTAACAAAAACAGCTGTTGTGTGCGATATACATATACATTTCACAGCACTGGTTTCGTTAAATTTAGCCAGGAAATATACCATAAGCAAAACAAAAAATTAAAATATTATATAATGCATTATTGTCTCTTGACTCTTATTGACAAAATATTAAATTAAATTGCATATGTTCAAATTAAAATATGGTTAACGGTGGCTTATAAATACATATACATATGGTTGTGACAGTGGCGCCCGCTATCGAAGCGATGGCGAAAGTCGGCAGCGCCATCTACCACAATTTAGAGCAAACACAACGATACACTGGTGCTTTCGATATACAATTTGTAACGACACATGCAGCTTTCTGTCACAAAACGTAACGTCGCCGCTTGATGGTGCGCAATTTAAATGATTCAAATTGTTTTTTGAAGTATAAATAAAAATATACATTTGATCTTAAATGCATAACAGTAAATTGAAATGTACGTTCAAACAACAATTCATTCAAAAATATACAACTTAATATCTCACAAATGGCTGCATTGCACACAAAAATCTCTGAAATCCAAAAAAGTGCGTAAAAAGAAAGCATTGCTAAGAGTTCGAGCTTCTGAGTGACCACTGTACACACATAGATACATACATACATAACTGTTATGTAGCAATAAGTGTGAGCCAGCGGACAGAACGGACATCGTTGCAGCTGAGTCAATGCAAACCGAGACGCTTATCAGCCGAGAAGGAGACAAAAATAAAACAACAACAGCAATGATAAAAAAAAAGAAAGAAAGAGGGCAACTTGAGTGCGGCTGTCACTTAAGGCAAACATATGTTTCGTTACAAATTGAACGAGCGACCGCGACGACTTTAACTTTGAGCTTATCAGCGCATGCTGCTGATAGCAACAGCAGCAACAACAGCAGCGGACAACAAACAAACGAAAATTAACAAAACCTAAATTTAAACACGTCTCACTGCGGTTCGCAATGCGATTGAAGCGAAGAGAGCGAGTCAGAGTGAGACTGAATCGGAGTGGGAGTGAGTAGAGGAGAGTGCTCGCTTTTCATTAGCTGCAACTGCAGCAGAGCTGCTCACTGCGGTCGTTTGGCAAGGTTAACGGTGCGTATGTGCGGTGGAGGATGGAAAAAGGAGAGAAGACTGAGGAGTGAGGAACACAAGCTGCAATTGGCATAGGGTGCGAAAATTGGCAAAGCAGGCAACTCTGAGTGTGAGCAGACAAGGAAGTAGACAATGGGCAGCTTGGACGCAACCAAACCAAGCCAAACCATTTCAATCGCTTACTTCTCAGCACTCTGCGGTTGAGTTCTATTCGAGAGTGCAATGCGAAGGCTTAAAGATGGAACAGTGGAGCAAAGGCAATAAATCGTAATAGGTTGTTTGAAATATGTAAATAGTAATTCAAGTTAATTGATTTGTAACAAATGCTCTAATTCAATATTTAAATTGCTTTCTGTTTGCCATTTAATTAATTGATTTTAGTATTTAGTAAATTATCGTATTTCAGATTTCACTTAAATAATAATTTGTAGATATTTGAAAATCTTTTTCTGCTTCCTCTTCTTAAAATTTAAACACGCAACATAATTCACTTTTCTTTTATTGATTTTCTTTAAGATTATTGTTCGTTGTTGTTGCTTTATTTTTTAATTTGATGTTACACATATGTACATACATGTGTAAAAGAAGTAAACAAGCTGCACTTTAAAAATACTGTTTTATATATTATTTTTGTCATCGATTACCCATACCGTTACAAGTAACTAAGCTACTTTTACACGCTTCCCACTCAGCTTCCCACCTGGGCGTACTGTTAACGTCAGCGCCAGCGCCAGCGTCTGCGTCAACGTTGCGTCGATGCGACGCGGTGTGAACAGGCAAAGGCAAACAAGCAAATAAACAAACAATCGAAGTGCGGACGACTGGTGAACCGTTATTCCCTGTGTGTGTGCAGCTTTCGGTCAAGCTTTTCAAAAAGTTGCCATGTGTGTAAATGTGTGTGTGTGTGCGTGTGTGCTCTAAAGATATAACGAGAACGAAGGAGAGAGTAGAGTAGGTTTGCATGTATGTGTATGCGCGCTGGGGGCTTGTGTGAGTGAGCTGTGGTTTGTTTTTGTTGTACTGTTCTGTTTCGTTGCTATTCTTGTTGCTGACCTATACAGCGCGTTAGCGAGAGAGATAGAGGGAGATTGGGGAGTAGCTGGGTAGGTGGCGCAGCAGGAAACAATTAGCTCTAAATAAAATTTCAAAATAAGCAACTGTTTGCGCTTAAAACCGGTAGCCTGGGCCTGGGCCGCCATAGTAAGCGAGGCGTGTGTGGCACGCGAGGCCTTTTACGCCCAGCAACAACAGTAACAACAACAATCAGCACATAAATAGATACCATGCATTCACTTAATTACGGTATTTAAATGAGCAACAAATGACATGATAGAAATTCGATGCTTTTCACACACGCACACATTTACCACGCTTATACGTGAATTATTTTATTTTGGACTCTACCGAAAAATATCTACATTTATGTAGAAATTGCAATTGTACGAAATTATTTTTAACAACAACAACATTTTTAAAATATGTAAAAAAAATGCTAATCTTTTATCTGCATTAATGTCACATTATATTTAGTCAATTGTCGCTGCCAAATTCAGGAACTGGCTTTTATACCTGTCATTTTAAATCGATTTCATGAAATGATTTTGCCAATTAAGCATAAGTATTTTAATCTACACGCACTCACACACACACACACACATACATGCACTCGCCCAAAAGCTCCGCTGAAAACTATGCAACATTTTGTCTATTTTAATAATTTTGGACTTCAGAAAAAAAACTAAGTAATAGAATTTTTAAATAATTATTTGTATAACACTGAGAACATTTATATTTTACAAAATAAAAAATGTTTAATTTTGCTTATTTACTTATTTATATCAGAAATTGAATAAGGCAATATCTTCACAAAGTCAATCTTCACAAATGTGTAAAATTTCACCATAATTCAGTGTTTGGCAAACACTTTTTTTTTTGAGCTGCTGTTGAAATTGTAATTGAAATTTTAGTCGTACAAACGCTAATTGGAATTGTTGCATTATGCAAAAATTGAAAATGGCAGCCATATAAAACGCTAATTAAAATACATTTATGCAAACAACTATTATTCACATATATATACATATATATATATATTTTTTTTGCTACCAATTCGACTGATGCTAAACCGAAAAGGGCAACGTAAATAATTTAATTAACCAATATGATACAGTGACAACAGCAACAAAGACAACAACAAAATGTATCAATTGAGCGGAACTAAACTAAAATGCAACTGCTGACCCAATTAGAAAAATATTTTTCCTCCCTCGCCTCTGCCTATAAAGTTTGTTTTGCATTCAGGCACAGGTCAGATTATGCATAGATAAAACGTTTACGGGTCGCAAAAGTTTAGTCGAGTTTACGCAATGGAAAGAATGTTTTTTTTTCTGCTTTACATATTTCAGCAACTATAATCCATGTGGATTGTAGTGAATTCCATTCAGTTTGCATTGCATTTTATAGGAACTGTATTGGAATGTTAATATATGTGCTCTGCGTTTGTGATAAAGTTTATTATTTTTTATTTAAATCGTAATGTTTGGATTTATTTATTTACTAAGCCTGTAAAGTTCAGTTGATTTATTTTACACCTCATTTAATTACTTTCTTTTTTGGGAATTCTCGATAGGTATTTTTAAAGTACCGCTCATTTTTTTGACTTTCATTATAGTCACTTACGTATTCTTTGTAATTTATTTATTATTAAATATCATTATTTTATTTAAGTATGCTTAATATCATTCTGAAGCCTTACATTTAGAGCTTTCGCATAAATAAACCTTGAGGTAATTTTTCAATAGTTGTGGATGTAGCATATCTCTTTGTATCCCGTCTTGCTTGCAGCTCATTGCTGACTTCGACAACAGCTTACCAAAAAATATTTATATAAAATGCCCCACAAATGTGCCCCCTTTGCTTTTGAGTTATTTTGTGTCGCTTCTTCGTGTGTAGTGCAAAGTTTTAAATTTTGTGCAAATGAAAATGAAATACCAACAGCTCGCAGTCCACAGTCCACACGCACACACACACACACACGCACACCCACCCACACACAAACATATACGCGTACACTGGAGTATGCATTTATACAAACACGCAAATTATGCAAACGGCCACCGCAAATAACATAAATTTCACAAACTCGGCGGCCCGCAACGCACCTGACCAGAAGGCAAACACATACAAGCTCAAGAGAGAGAGAGAGAGAGGCAGAGTAGAAGAAGCAGAGGATACGACGTCAAAAACGACGACAATGAAGGTGTTTGAAATCATTGTGCCATAGAAATGTAAACGGTTCTAGTTATGTGCACACACACACACACAAACATCTGTATGGCAAGTATGCACGTGTATTGAGAAATATGCCTGCGTGCCTGTGCATTAATCTGCATTTGTGTATTTAAAGCGGGAATATCTTCATACACACACACGCATAAACAATCGCTTTTGATTTCATCTTCTTACAACAGCTTGTTTTCGTTTTGTTTTTTGTGTTTCTGTTTTTCATGCGTTCCAGTCAGGCAAACAAAAATCATAATCGCCAGCTTACGAGAGCTGACAACCCTGTCAATACAAATACAATTGGTGAGACGGTTGGAGAGGGGAAGCGGATGAGCGGGCAGTGTGTCCAATTGGCGTACATTTGCATTGCCAATAAAGAGTGCAGAGGAGCGAAGAGTTAAAGCTCACCGCAGAGCAAATGCTCTGACATGGAGCAATAAATATAAAATGTTATGATGATAATATATAATAATATAATAATGAATTACAATTCATTATTCAAATGGAATTGCATGAAATGT